ATCCACAACTTAGGTCCGGCTGCCAGAGTCTGTGGCGGCAGATGTCGGCGTGGTCTCGGCACCCATCAACTCCCAGCCCTCGCTACCTAAAGAAGGCGTCAAGCCTTCCCTCCTATCGCTGGAACATTGCCACCTGCTCAGCTATCTTCATCGCCGGCAGTCCTAAACGACTGTGAACGATCCCACCCCCCAGGATCTGGTGCCACAATGACAGGTCGACCACACACACCACCTTGGTAGATCTGCCACCCTTTTGTTCTCTCCGGCCTCATTACCCGTAACAAGGACCATTCGGCGTTCAATCACCACGCCCTCAGAATCCAGCAACTCCCATTTTCTGTCTTTCACACTCTCCCCCTTCTTGCCCTGTAGGACTCACCCTCGAGTCCTAAACATCCACACGATAATCCTTGAACCAAGCGGGGGGCCTCCTCTGACGAACCGCATGTTGTTCCACAGTTCCATGTCCCTCAACCTTCCCAGGGATACATTCTTTCGATCCTCCTGCAGCAGCACCCCCTCGAGCAGCCTCTCCACATGATGGGCAGGGTCCCTCTCTTGAGTCACTGGAACCACTTGTGTCTGCAGACCGTTGATCAGTCCTGCTGGTGTCCTCCCAGGTGGCATCCGGTTGATGAACCATGCGTTGTCCCACAGCTCCATGTCTCCCGACCTTTCCAGGGAGACATCCTTTCGGTCCTCCTGCAGCATCACAGGATGCTGGGTCTCTTCCACATTCATAAACACCCCCAAAAATGGCAAAAAATGATTACAGTGTCCTGGTCACCTGTAAAGGGTTAAATTGACCTAAATATTACTTTATTTAATATTTCTTGATGTCATCAGTCCCATCACAGAATGCTGGGTCTCTTCCACATTCATAAACAATTTTGGCAAGGGAAATGATCATTTGTTGCCATTTTTGGGGTGTTTATGAATGTGGAAGAGACCCAGCACCCTGTGATGGGACTAATAACATCAAGAGATAATAAATAAAGTAATATTTAGGTCAATTTAACCCTTTACAGGTGACCAGGACACTGTAATCAATTTTTGGCAAGGGAAATGACCATTTTTGGGGTGTTTATGATGATACAGCAGACAGTATGAGTACAATAACATCAACAGATAATACATAAAACCCGTATTTGGTCAATTTTAGCTTCAATGAAAAACTGAGCCATTTCCTATGGGTAAACAGGAGGGTATAGTCATTATTTAGCAAGTGACAATCTTAATTTTATGTGCTGAATTGCTTTTATCTTGTTACTTTTAAATAAAGCAAAGTCATGTATAGGTAGTAACCTACACAGTGTCATTGTAAAGCCAAAGCTTGATCAGTTTAAATGCTATTTTTCAAGTAAAAATGTGCCCCAAACTAGTTAACTGTGGCTCCATGTCAAGTGGACTAAAGAAAGGAAGGGGAAAAAATCAAATCGCTGGAGAATTTTTATTTCCATTTATACAACATTTGACTTTACATTCAATACAGGGTGCCATTTTACACTGTTTATTTTTTAGTATCAAGGCTGTAACATAAAGAAAGCCAGTTCTTACCACAAACCATCTTTCAATCGCACATATTGCAAAAAGGATTATATATCCTCATTGTGAACGTTTAAGACAAATAGCAACACTTTAAGCAACTTCCGAAATGGAAAAAACTAATATCCGAGATAAACATCTGTTTAAGTACCGGACGAGGTTATCTCTGCTTTCTCAATGTCCATATTGCTAGATTTGCCGAGTTTTAAGGCGAAATCCTGGGGAATTTCGTCTAGAAATGCTATTACCCTAACTATGCGCAATCCTGCGGTGGCTAATCATTTTTTGGCAGCCAGTCGCTTTTTGGCACAACACCAGCAACTCCCGTCTTCTGTCTTTCACAATATGTATAATATAAAACCTTTGGATATTAATTTGGGACTCTTTCAGAATGACTGTAAACAATGGGAGAAATTTCTTGTTTACAGTATAATGATATTTTAGAAGCCATTTACAAGCTAACTGTCAGGTAAACAGTAATTTAATAACTTAAAGAGCAAGTAACGTCTAAATTAACTTTTTTTTTGCTGATGAACTGTATAAATGAGTGTCTAATAGTGTTTTAAATGTGTGTAGTCATTATTTTAGCATTTTGGTGCATTTTCTTTAAAAATTAAAAATTCTGCCTAAATACCACAGTATAGCGCCACCTTCACCTTAAAACATAGAATATGAGTCATTTTGAATAAATTTTAGCCAATGGCTAAAGAGTAAGATACTAAGTAAACCAGTAGAGTACTACGTAGCAGCTCAGTGTCAAAGTTATAAAAGCAACGAGAGTCTCGGCCACGCCTTGTGGCGAGTTGGGAGTTGGATTTGCAAGCGTGTGTAGGAGGTTAGCCGTAGTTCAGCATTAGCATATCCTAGTCTTTAGCATAGCTTTTAGTGTTATACATACTTATTTAGTGTTAGTTTGGCTGTTGGATATTGTAGTTTAGTTAGTGTTTGGCTGTTAGTGTTATTAGGAAAGTAGTTCGGGTTTAGTGCTCCATATCGTGTTAGTATGGTGAGAAGGTGTAGTGTAGTATGGTTGTGGTGGCTCTGTGGGGTTGCACTCCTTTCCGCTGGACTTAGAAATTAGGCGCCAGTGGTTGCGCGCAATCAGTGTCTGGAAATCATTCAGCTCCCGCCGGGTGCTGTAGTTTGCAACAGCATTTTACCCGCGATTCTGCACGTCTCCGTTTGAAGAGGGAGGCTGTGCCCACCGTGGCTCTTCCGCGATTTAGATGCAGCCCACCGACTCTGCTCCCCCATCATGGCGGGCTCCAGTCTGAGGTGAGTAAGCTAAATAAAAGTTTTAACATCTTCTAAAGACAATTCCCTTCCTAAATGCAAAGTTTGAGAGACGTGGTTCACTCCATTTAGCTAATATCAGCCTGCGCTGCCTTCAGGCTGATTTGTCAAGTTCACAAAATGTGGAACGGGATGTAAGGTTAGAATCAGCGGCGAATCGGAACATATCTCGAAGCTCTGGCCGACAAAACGGTCCACATGGCTTGGAGAAAATTCGGGTTGTTTTTGTGTCAGTCGGTAATTCTGCAACAGTGACTAATGAAGCACTAGTTGACAGACAGCATTACAGCGTGAAATCCAGCTTGTGACCCGGTTCTGTGAGGAATTCTGTTCAGGAGGTCGCATTTCAGGCTCTCCACATCATATGTGACTGACTTTTATGTTATAATAACGATCACACACTAGGAATGTAATAAAGCGCCTATATGTTTCTTTTGTACATTATCTGACTTTATAAACTCCAACAACAAAGTGCTTCTATTTTTTTTTTCCAGGCTAAATCTACCCAAGACACTGGCTGTCAGAATGCACTTGTCCAGGCTGATTTGAAGCCTTACCCGTAGCAAAGGTGAATTATTTTTAATAATCTTCTATGTAAACATTTTATTATTACCTTCTAGTTTTAATTTGTTTCACAGATTATTGTTACACGTGATTTTATGCTCTTTTAAACATTTATAAATGTGCTACTTCTTTGTTTTTTACATAGCCAGCCAGAATAGAGCTCACAGCCGCAGTTTGTCTTGTGACCCACAGGGACCATGATGGAAATTCATCTTCCAGAAAGTCCCAGAGCAGCATCCACACCCCTGAAAAGACCAAGATGTGAGGTGTCTGCTGTTGATTCCAGCTTCCACCTCAGTGACAATGCAAGCTCAGTGAAGTGTTCAAGGTAAAAAAAAAAAAAAATTAAAACATTTCAGAATTTTTAAGATATTAACAATTAAATAAGTATGTGATTACATCATGACATCATGAAGGAGGCTACTGATTCTGGCCCTGTGACACTTGGTGGTGACGTGTGAGCTGATTCACCTGGTAAATAACTTTTACATTAAATGTTTTTTTTTTGCTATCAAAAGTAAATTAACTAATAACCTGCATTATTGCAGGACACTCAGCAAAATATGGACTACACCATGAGGCAGGCACACGTTAATACTCTATAAGAGCACATAAGGTGAGCAACACCACATATTGTACACTGTCCTGAATTTGTTTTCTTTCTGCATGATTTGTTTTCTTTCTGCTTCTCATCATTATCCTGGCTGATCACCTGATAACTCCTGTCATCTGGTTGTGACAGCATGAGGATGTCCTCACACACCTGTAACCTATCAGCTCATCTGGCAGAATAGAGAGAGAAGAGACAACACCACATCTCCTGTTCCTGGAAAGCCTTCAGCCATCCTTCGATGACTGAGAACCTCCATCAGCTCTGTCTCCTGTCTGCCTACAATTATTATAATAAATAGTGTGTTTGACGAGTTTTTTGTGCTGCCAAATATCTCATTTTGATTCCAGTTTTGATATTTTAATGGATATTTATAAATTACATTAATTGAATTATCACATTGTTGCATGTTTAACTAACTCTATTGTGATGAATTAAACTAGCACCTCACTGTTAAAAGCTCGTTTTAATCTCAAGCATGTTTAAGTATTTATGGACATGAACAAAAACAGGAAATATATAAATTGAGATTTATTTAATTAATATAACAAATAAGGGGGAAAGAGTCATTGAAAGGCACATTCTTCTGGAAGCTCCTGATCCTGACGACACCAGAGGAGACCACCTGCAGACACCAGAAGATCACCTACAACCAAGAAAGCTACTAGTATCAGTAAATAATGAAATCAGGGCAGTTTTAGTGGGCTGAACACATTACAGAATAATTTTCTCATGGGGTATTTTCATAACTTTCTATGCAGCAGATTGTAACTTGAGCCCAGGGCTCCTGGAGAGCTGCTATCCAGCAAGTTTCAGTGGTTTTCCTGCTTTAACAGGTTAGATTAGCTGTTAAGCAGCTCAGCTATTTGTTGCTAATTAAAACCAAGTGTGTTGAAGCAGATAAATCTCTAAAACATGCTGAATACTAGCTCTCTAGGGCCTTGGAGCCAAACCCTGCAGCTAATCCAATGCTATGGCTAACGGCTACTTACCATTCAGAGTCGGTTCTGTTGGGTCGGTTCCGCTAGTTTCAGGCAACTCACAAGCTCAAAACAATAAGGTTCAGGTCCGCTTGTCTCCTCCAAATAGACTTGGTCCCTTTCTTCTCGAGTGTCTGGGTAAGGAGGGGGAGAAACGTCCTCCACTTCTAATAACTGCTCAGAGTGAAGGGAGCTAGCATCGTCTAGTTAGCCATCGTCTTCGTCACTGCCTCCGCCCTCTCGGTCCTCCAGGCAATGCCTACTAATGTTGCAGTTTTTAAAATTGATACGTGGGTGGAGTAAGACTCTTGAGGGGGTCATTACCACGTCTTTAAAGAAATACTGTGACCTTCGACGAGTTGAAAGTAACTAGATAAGTGACGAGATTAAACGTAAACTTCCACAGGTAGCGTGTCTCGACCATCGACATTAATTTTTTTTTAGAATATTGGTTCGTTAACAATACAGTCAAGATACACAACTGACTCAATATCCACTATGAAGTACATGGAGACAGTATAAACATAACAAAAACATACCAACAGATTCAACGCCATCAACATTAATATACTCGACTTGTAAACAGCCTGCCTGTGACGCAATAATTGGCCTGCGCATGTGCGCTGCGCATTTCCCCAAAGTAGCACATTCGACGGGGAGCACGGATAGTCGGAACACCTGGCATGAGTCTCGATTAGCGGAAAGTGAGAAAAGTAATGAAAACGCTGGATTGTCCCACACAAAGCGGGACGTCCTTACTAGATGTTCTAGCATGTTTGGGTTAGGGTTGCCACAACCTACCATTACCAAATTAATACAAAACAAAGATAATGTTCCATTCTGGTTCTATTAAGCAAGACTAAATCAAACACTTTGTTGTTAAACGTCATTTGCATGGCGCTTAGCTTTCATTTGAAAGACATCGATGATGGCAACTTCCTCTTGCTGCTTCTACTTTTTGCAGACACTGATCCTGGATTGGATTTGTGTTCCTCCTTCTAAATAATGGTCGTTTAATAACGGTTACAATGAAACACAAAATATGATCCCAGTTCAGCAAATACAGTGAACTAGAGAGCTCTTTTGTTTCTGGACATACGCACATGCTGGTTTAGTTAGGTTGCTTAAGTTCTGACAGACATCTCTGCGAGCCAATCACATACGTCCTGAGCTGCGCGTGTCACCTTGTAAGGCGGGCTTTTCTGGTGGGCGTGAAAGACACGAAGAGGAGGTCAAACGAGCTGCATGAGTTTGAGAAACGTGAGGCTGTCTCAAGGAAAGATAATCAGATAGACAGCAGTACATTAGGACAATACAGTTTTTGTCAATTAGTAGGGTTCCGGTTCGGGTTAAAAACGGGAATATTCGGGTGCGTGTTCGTTTATTTCTGGTGTAATATTTCTGTAATACTCGGTTAACAGCTAGCTAATGCTAACCTAGCGTGGTCTCAAGGGCTGACAGCCAGTAACTTCTACAGATAGGTTAACATTTGCTTAATTTACATTAGTATTCACGTTGAAGTAAGCATGGAGCTTTTTCATACAAAGCATTAGCTTTGGCTCACAAGTTTGCCTCTGAATCTGAACGTTGGTGGCTGACAGTTCTGCCTGATATTTATCTCGTCTTTCGAGCCTTGTGTCACGGTCACGGCTGTCATGTTTCAGTCAGTTTCCCGTCGCCCTATTTGTGAGATCGGAGTAAACACAATGAAGCTCCAGGACTGTAGGTTATTTGGACGTGCCGTAGATGGGGGCAGGGGTAGGCTTGAGAGGCTCCCTTGGCTGGGCAGGAATGTGGGCCTGCTGTTGTCCTGGCTCCAGAGGGCACGGGCCGGTGCCAGCAGGGCTGATGGTCCAAAGAGGAAAGGACTACTCTCCATATTTGCAGACCACTGCAGCTTCGTGACCGGTCAGAGGCTCCGGCGTGCTTGCCAGGTTGGTGAGCTTTACTCCAACCTTTACTCTGAGCGAACCAAGTGGACTCTGGTGGGCAACTTTTGGCGCAGATTTCAGAGCAAGCACGCCCCTGCTGGGAAGCTTGCTGCGGTTCTGGCTGGCGTCTTCATGTGGGAGAACGAGAAGATCCAAGATGAGGAGATACGCAGGTTAGATGTTTCTCTCTTAATGGTACCAATGCACACGCGACAAAATGTCAAACAATATTGGAACAGATCTGTATTCATATTTGTCTAGTGGGACACAATAAAGATTAAACGTGTGTTGATTATATTCTGGGGTCTTCATGTTCATCACATCATCTATTTGAGTAATTTAGACAGGCTTGGAATGTCAACACATTTATCACCAGAACAACCAATAGAAGTGTAGCAACTCCAGAAATACCTGCAAGGATTTTAAAATATTTTAGATAACCAACGTCCCCCCACCCACACACACACACACACTTGATGAAAATCACAGAATTTAAAGGTTGTATTAGTTTGTGAGATGGTGTGTAAAACCCGTTCTTCATTTAAAGGTGTGGACTCGAGCTAGAGGCCCTTGAATCTGTAAAATGTCTGTGCACATCTTCTGGATCTGTGGCTGGACAGCATGAAAGTGGCTGGGAAGTTGTGATGGAGAAGAAGGATTTCAGAGTGTGGAAGCGTCCCATACCCAACAGTCACCTTTATGAATACAGAGGTCAGCTGTTTTATACTGTCACCCGTTTTCTCAGATTTCTGTGAGGCCGACAATTGAGCCTTCTGAAGAGTAGGCATGTTTTGTTTTTCCCTGCAGTGTTGGGCTCCTACAATGATGTCACACCGAGACAGTTCTTCAACGTACAGGTACAGGCTCCTCAAATCTCATTATGTGCAACTCGATCATTGTGAGCTTCTATTAAAGAAGAAATCAAGACAAACTGGCTGTCAAGAAGTCACCAGGAGGAAGGGGACACCTGTAGTCTTAATTCCCTAATGAGAATTTAGGTCTCCATGTGTCTGAGCACCTTAACCAGGAACTACAGACGAATGATTGTCACACTTTTATTTTAAAATGTTTTTGATGCAGAATTTTATGGTCTTTGTCATGATATTTAGTCTTGTTGTCTCGTTTAGAATCTTCATTACTCAGCTGTTCTTTTGTGTGTAGCTCAGAAATGATACTTTGTGCCATTTTTCTCTTTCTCCCAGTTGGACACGGAGTACAGGAAGAAGTGGGACTCTCTGGTTATCAAGCTTGACGTGATCGACAGAGATGCCAGCACAGGATCTGAAGTTGTGCACTGGGCCACACATTTTCCTGTAGGTTGCCATTATAGAGCCCTGTGGGATTCATTCATATTTATTTTTTTTCTTTTGTTTTTTCCATCAAATGCATTAATCTGCTTTACTTTTGTCAGAATAAACATAATCAGAATAATGAAATATGGAGTTCTGGAATAGAAAATGGAAGAAAAGACAAATAAGATTTAAATGGATTTCATTGAACTGTACCATTACTTTTTTGTTATTAATGAAAACAAAATAGAAATGGAATTAGATTGCCATTAACACAATGAAAACTAATTAACATTTTGGATTTCTAATCTCCCTTCTCAGTATCCCATGTATTCACGTGACTACGTTTATGTGCGCCGTTACGACGTTGACTTTGGAAATAACCTGATGATCTTAGTGTCCAGGTGAGTTTCGATGGACTGTTTTTAATTTGTAACTGCATAACAAAATATTTATTGTTGAATTTTATTTCTCTGTAGAGCTGTCCACCATCCTAAAGTTCCAGAGACTCAAGAGTTTGTGAGAGTCCACTCTTACCAGTCAAAGATGGTCATTCGCCCACATAAGTCCTTTGATGAGGTTTGTTTTTCAGTTTGAAGCTACAGTTTGAAGCTGTGTCTAGAGAATGAAGGTAGACTTTTGTGTTTTTCTTACAGAATGGTTTTGATTACCTGCTGACGTACAGCGACGACCCAAAGACCGTTTTTCCTCGTTACTGTGTGAGCTGGATGGTATCAAGTGGTGAGATATCTGAACCTGTCGAGGCTGTGCTGGACTCTCATTTAACCTTTATCTAGTCTGTTTAATTTGGCAAAACACCAACAAATGTTTTTTATGTTGTAATTAGCAAATTCTCTAAGAAACAGTTTTTTACTAGTTCCTTTTGAAATATGATTGGTCATTCTGAGTTTCACATGCAGGCTGAATGTGAAAATATGTCTTCTACCCCTATTTCCTGCGTTAGCCGCGGATAGAAAGTAGACAGGGGGATGCTCGAGCCTGAAAAAGCCACACAGAATCATGTCTCACTGTTGGTTTGCGTTCATGGATTCATCCATCTTGAGTTGTGAGTGGGGAAGGTTGTTGATGATTTAGCATCCAGGAGAAAGAAGATGGCATTTTGGCCAGTAGATGCTAACCATTAGCATTAGCAGCTGTACAACACCGAATGGAGGCAGTGAAAGATTCTTGTCGCAGTTAGCAACCAAAGGGGAGATGTATCATGAATAATGAGTAAGCCGTTTTCTGCAGACCCTCCACTCCTCTAACTTCTACTTCCTGGAATAGGAGTGTCAGATCTTTTCTCCACAGAGTGTGTCTCACAAGGCATTCATTTCTACTCAAATGTATTGAAATAACGAGTAAAGGAGAAACTTATGTCATTTCTCCTCTCGCTCCCTTCTAGGTATGCCTGATTTTCTGGAGAAGCTGCACGTTGCCGCTTTGCGGGCCAAGAACCTGGAGGTTGGGATTCACGACTACACGGGAGTCATTAAGTCCAGCGACATCAACCGACAGCCGAACCAAGAGCGCATCGGTGGAGAAAACGCACACACAAGTGGTTCTGGGCAGATTTATGCTTAAGTTGGATTCTTCATAGACCAGGAGTTATATCGGCATGTTCTGAACTGCACTAGAGTCCACATAAAGCCCTCCAACCCAGCCTTTAGGGTACAAAACCAAGTTTACAACCGACTGCAGACACATGTCCATCTGTAAATGTGTTCGCTCTGGTTGTAAATGAGATGAGTGCAGCGGACTGTGTTGTTGACTGCATCGCTGTCCTCGTAGACACATTGTTGCAATGACAAATATCCAGACTGATGGCTGTGGCCAGCCAATTTCATGGGACTTTAAAAAAATTTTTGTAGTCTTTGACAGATGTGAGTGCTGCAACTATTTGTCAGATAGAGCCATATTCATGTGTGTTGAGGTGCTTTTGCCAAAGCACAGGTTTTTTCATTCTAAAGCTCTGTTGGCTTCACACTGTTCAAACCACCAGCACCTAGAAGGCCTCCGTGGAGATTCTGGTGCTTTAAACAAGGAGTCATGTATTCAGAAGAACCTATCACTGAAGTTAATTATGATTGAATTCTGGCGGACTGTGTTAAATACACGGTTTTGGTCAAATGATCACTCATGTTTGCAATCAGCGTGTTGGGATGTCATGAATAAAACAAAACACCACTTTCTGGAAACTAGTCCTGATAATCTAAGAAGACAATTGTAGGGATTTTTTTGTGTTTTGAGGACGTTTGCAGTTGTCAGAGTTGAGGTCTTGGTTTGTTTCAGTGTTTAAAGCTGCCAGCCTTCTGAAGATAAAGCATTAGAGGCATAGTGTCTTATAACAACCATAGAAATCCTCATATATAACGGTACTGGTGTGTTTCTAGCAAGGAAAACACTCAAACTAGTGCCCCAGACTGTGCCACATTTCATTTTAATTTTGTATCTCAGCTCTTTTAATGCTCGTTTCTTCGTCAGTTTAGTTTGTAGTCTTTTTATGGTTGTTTTGCTGTTCTTGTATATCAAAAATTATAGATACTGGAAGAGCATTTTTAAAATGTGTGCAGCAAGCTAACATCTTTCTCCTGAGTTTCAATGGTTTTTTTCTCTAAATGTACGTCCTACTGAAGTTCCACTGTATTCACCCAGTTCATCGTTATTTCTAATGAATTATATGCAGGGAATGTAATGAATGTACATGGAAAAAAAACCACCCATAACACTGTTTACAGCCTGTGAAACTGGCACAAATGTCCATCTGTTTAACAAAACTCATCTTGTTCTGAATTTGAGCTGTTTATAGGGTGGGTACATCTGGAAAACCTGTTATTTTGACATGACAGAAGTCCCATCTATATGTTATTGTGCGTGTCACACTATTCAATAAATTAGAAAAAAAGTAAAATGCTAACCTTGTTAGTACATTCCATGGTAAATCAAAATTGTGAAAAATAACCAAATTAGATGTCATATTTGCTATTAAGCTTGTGTGTACAGTTAAAGGCTGTCCTTTCTCATTTTTGCAGACAGTAAATCAGTTTTAATGAGCGTTAGCTGATGTGATCTCAAAGATAATTTGTTTAAAGGCAAAGAAGTTGAAAAAATGAAGTTCTCTGTGCACATCTTATTGTGTTTCACTGGTTTCTGTAGAACAGCTTTGACCCTGGTCTGGCAAAGGGAAGGGTGATGGGAGTTGTGCCAAACCTCCTAATGGGATCATCCATAAACCTGGTCCTGTCTGGGTGAAAGGTCAGAGGTGTTCATGCCTCTAAAGGCATTGCTGAGCTGATTTGCTCTAGAACAAGCAAATACAAAGGAGATTACAACTAAACGTTAAATCTTTTATCTTTCAAACTAGAGATTATAAATAATCTCTTCTAGAGAAATGGAGAAATATTGACAATTTTAAAAGAAATAAGTCAGTTTAGTAAGAATAAATTAAGTAATAGGAGCTATTTTATTCTGAGCTATAAATGAGTTAATTTTATTTACCTTAAATCTTTGATATTATTGGATGTAACATTGATCTAAATATTTTTTCTTGCTTTTGAAAATATTTTCTGATTTGTCGTGATCAGACAAACCCAGATCTTGATTCCAGTTGTAGGGGGTCAATATTGTTGCTTTTAAGCTTAATATACACTGCTCACAAAAATTAAAGGAACACTTTAAAGAAACACATTAGATACATCAGATCTCAATATGAAGTTGGATATCATTACAAATAACGACAGGGCAATGTCTTAAAAACGAAAGGACGCCAAGTTTTAATGGAAATAAAAGTTATCAGCCTACAGAGGGCTCAATTGTGTAGACACCCTAAAATCGGAGTGAAATGAAGATGTGGCAGGCTAGTCCATTATTTCAAACTCAAATTGCTTTTCAGTATCTTGTGTGGCCCCACGAGCTTGTGTGCATGCTTGACAACGTCGGGGCATGCTCCTAATGAGACAACGGATGGTGTCTTGTGGCATTTCCTCCCAGATCTGTGTGAGGGCATCCCTGAGCTCTTGTACAGTCTGAGGAGCAATCTGGCGCCGCCTAATGGACCGAAACATAATGTCCCACAGATGTTCTATTGGGTTTAAATCAGGGGATTGTGAAGGCCATTCAATTGTTTCAATTCCTTCATCCACCAGGTACTGCCTGCATACTCTTGCCACATGAGGCTGGGCGTTGTCGTGCATTAGGAGAAAACCAGGACCTACTGCATCAACGTAGGGTCTGACAAAGGGTTCAAGGATTTCATCTCGATACCTTATGGCAGTCAGAGCACCATTAGAGGTCTGTGCATCCCTCCATGGATATGCCTCCCCAGACCATCACTGACCCACCACCAAACCTGTCATGTTGAACGACGTTGCAGGCAGCATAACGTTCTCCTTGTCTTCTCCAGACTCTTTCACGTCTATCACAGGTGCTCAGGGTGAACCTGCTCTCATCTGTAAAAAGTACAGGGCGCCATTGGCGGACTTGCCAATTCTGGTGTTCTTGAGCAAATGCCAGTCGAGCTCTACGGTGCTGGGCGGTGAGCACAGGGCCCACTACAGGACGTCGGGCCCTCAGGCCACCTTCATGAAGTCTGTTCCTGATTGTTTGGGTAGAGACATTCACACCAGTGGCCCTCTGGAGGTCATCCTGTAGGGCACGAGCAGTGCTCAGCCTTTCCGCCTTGTACAAAGGAGCAGGTATTGGTCCTGTTGATGGGTTGTGGACCTTCTACGGCCCTGTCCAGCTCTCCGAGAACAACCGCCAGTCTCCTGAAATGTCTATGTTCTGGAGATTGCGCTGGGAGACACATTAAACATTCTTGCTGCAGCAGAAGTTGCACAGGTTGTCCAGCTTCTCCATCCTGGAGAAGTTTGACAACCTGTGCAACCTCTGTAGGGTTAAGGAATCGCCTCATACTGCCAGTAGAGAGCCAAAGCTAGCACGAGTGGAAAACCAGCCAAAAAAGATCAAGAGGGAGGAACTTGAAATGACCTCTACATGTTAAACCAGTCCTGTTTTGAGGGTTTTGTAATTGTTGCCACTTTAGTGCACCTGTCATTAAGTCCATGAACACCAATACAGCTGAAAGTGATTAACAATGCCCTCAGCTGCTTAATCCACCAGGAAATTATCAGACAGGTTTAATTGATTTCATGCCAGGCCCAATAAAAAAAGTGTTCCTTTAATTCTTGTGAGCAGTGCATTACCTTTACTTATGACCAATAAGATGTGATATTCTATTTAAATGTAGAATATCAACCTGCTTGGTCTTTGGATGTTTAATCAGAAGATTCTAGGATTCTTTGCTTTTTCAGGGAACAAACACACTTCATATCAATTCAGACAGAGTCAGGTTTATAAAAAGTAAGAATTTATTTTCTGAACAATTAAAAACAAGACAAGTTAACCAAAACGACTGTGATGGATGAATCTAAGTGGATGGGATGTGATTAGTGGTGATTTAATGCTGTGTGTTTATCAGAACCTTGTCTCTAGAAGAACTGAGTTCTGGGTGTGAAAAAGAATTTGGTTTGCATTAACTAGAAAGTTGATTCTTATCAAAACTGCATCAGACGCAATCATGCGTGTCTACCTCACCCCTTTCTTTGGAGACCCTCTTCGCGGATCCGGAGGTCAGGGAGGTCGGATGACCTCTGGACACCGAAGTTTGGTAGATTAACCGCAGCACCGACGCTCCAGTCCAGAGATGTTTCCCCAGTCACAACAGATAGACGAAATCATTTGCGTCTAGAAGGACTCTTTGGGAGTCGGAACTGTATCAGCTTTGTTCTGCAGGAACCTTCTGCTATGTCAGCTTCAGCGTGTAGCAGGTTTGTTGACAGCTTGTCAAAGATGCTCTGGGTTAAAGAGGGTTCACTACGGATGGCCTGTCTGTCGCTTTCTCTAGAACTGACTCACGGTGAAGTGAGCCCTGTTTTAATATTCTCATATTATGATTTTCAAAGTCAAAGTCAAAAGTCTTGGCCAATTGGAACGTGCAATGTTAAGGGGTGTTACCAACAAACCCTCAGAATATCACGCCTTCTTTCAGATACAGGATGCTTTGATTTGTGGCTAAGAAAAAATCTATCTGTCTTAACGTTTAACTTAACTTTAATTTATCTCTGTTGAACATTGTGTCTGAGTGTAGATAATGATTCGGTTGTTAAATCTAAAATTACTGATCATACCATATTAATCATTACCACAGTAATTTAAGCACAGATTAATCAAAACATTTCATTAGTTATCATATAACATTTGTTCATTCAACCATATGATTATTTCTATTATAATGGTTCAGTCCTTTATTCTGTGCAGGACAGCCTAGATAAGCAGACAGGCTTGGCAGAGAAGAACCTTGAGAGGGAACATGATGTTGACAATACGTTATCATGTGTTCAGAGCTGCAGAGAGGCCCGGACTCCAGCTGATGGAAAGGCAGGATCCGGCAGATTAAAGGCAACAAATGTGGACTCCGGTCTTCATATGACTAGATACTGAAGAGGTCAAACTGTACATGAAAAACTGACCATTTGTGGACGTTACACAGTACAATGCTGGGATGAATGTAAAGCTAAGATGGTCCTGTGTGTAGTAACATTACAGTCCATTGTTTATTAAAGTTGCTATCAGTGTAATTCATTAATGTTTTCTAATTGAAAACAGTCACTATTAATTTTATAGCACATTGTGACTGAACACTGAGCAGACAGACCATGAATTATTTTAGTCTGAGTAGTTTTGGTATCTTTTCAGATCTGTGCAACTTCTGAGGTGCAAAGAAAAGAATCAGATCCTATTAGTGGGTTCATTTTAAAAGGCCTACTGGAAAAGATGTTTGAGAATCCTCTCTGTATGCTGTGTTGTCTTGACCTCTAAATCTTCAGTGGTTTTATTGGTTTTGACGATTTTACTGGAGACGAGTAAACCATTAAGTTCAATTGATAAAGTTATGATTTAATTTCCTAATGGATAAAAAAGCTGCTTCACTTCAGACTTCTGAGAATACTATACACAAGACAAGTGAGTAACTGCCATTATTGTTCTCAAAAAGACCCAACTTGCTAGAAAAATGAGAGATGGTAAAGAAAAAGAAATCTAAGTACCTAAAAGTATGACTAAATGTTTTCAGCAGACTCATAGGATGTGTAATTATCTAAAACGGTAGAGGCATTTATGCAAATAACTTTTTTCCTGATGTAATTATGTAAAAAACTGAAAAGTTAGGTAAAAGTGCATTTTTATATGTATCATAAGTGTATTATCTATATCAGAACCCATTTTTTCCAATAACAGTAATTATGAACACATAGTGGGAAAATATGGATATTTTAATCCATAGTGAGACGTAAGAACAGGAGTCTGGTTTTCAAAAGTGAATTTATTGGTTCAGTCCATTAGTTGTGATCAGACAACAGAGAATTTTAAACAAGTACCTGTGAAAATGAAATGATTTTATTGCAAATCCCAGAAAATGAACAGATTCTGAACATTTTACCTGTTAGGATTCAGGCGTTGTGCAGCCCTGTCTCATGATGTGACACATCTATGACGTGTTTCCTACAGATGAAACATTGCATGACCTCTACCACACCGAGGTAAAAGCCACTGAGCACTTACTGTAATTGATGTTTTCCATAAACTGGACACATTCTGACCACTCATTTTCTAGACTATGACAGCTTTATCTATATGGATCACGAACCCAGTGACACAGATTCTTTTTTTTTTTACACTTTAATCAGTGTAAAGCAGCAACACACACAATGTTTTAACTATATTTACTGTCTTTATCATGAAAGAAATTACACTGAACAAAGGTGAGAAGGTGATTGGCTGCAGCCTTCCATCTCTCCAGGACCTGTACGTCTCCAGAACTCGGGGGCGTGCAGGCCGGATAGCAGCTGACCCTTCTCACCCGGGACACAGACCTTTCGAGCCGCTTCCCTCAGGCAGGAGGTTACGGTCCATCCAGACCAGAACCTCCCGCCATAAGAACAGCTTCTTTCCATCTGCCGTAGACTTGTGAACAGCTTATAAACACACGACCATGTTCGTCTGCTGTACTTGACATAACGTCACGTTACCGGCCATATTACCATTACCTGCCTTTTTTATAGCTGAATGTTTTTATGCTAGTTTTGTTATATTTTATTCTACTTATTCTATTTCTGAAATTTATTATTCATGTTATATGTAGCACATTAGTACCGAAACAAGTTCCTAGTTTGTGAACTGCTTGTTCACTGACAATGGCAATAAACCTTTTCTGATTCTGATTCTGATATCATTTTACACACACAACACTTATTGATAACATAAAAAAATGTAAGTATGCTCTCTTTTGTTTTATTTATGCTTTTGCATCTGAAACAGAAATATAAAAGCAAAACTGGGTTCACTGAAAAGCTTGGAAATTCATAAAGAACAGCAGGTTGTGCTCACAAGCCTCCAAGGTGCTTGGCACAACCATGGACAGAAGACGTACTGCATGGTTAGATCAAGCACAATGGAGTCCTGGGCAAAGACAAATAATACTAAAAAAAACAAAAAACAATCAAATGTCACCTTTTTATAACTGCATTGTGCACAGAGGTAGCAACTGAAAAAATCTGCAAAAGATTCAGAATTTGCCACTTTTCCTGGATTGTCCATTTCAGTTCAGTTGTATCTGCAATGTAAAAGTTGAAATATAAATGTTTGTGGAAAGAGATCTCTACTCATGGTTAGATTATTACAAATAAATAACCACTACGATGATTAGAGCATCAGCAGCTCAGAACATCTGCAGGATAATAAAAAAAAAGGATTAGTCATAGGTCAAGCTCACTGCGGAAAAAAGGGCTACACCCTTCCTGCGCACAAACTGCGTCAAACCCCGCCCTCTCACCCTTCTCGCCTAACTCTACCACGACTAAAAGAATAGAAAAATCAGAAATTTCCACCACCGTTTATGTCATACAAATGTTAAAATATAAAAAAATTCAGGAAATGTTAGCAGCCTGAGATGGTTAACGGTGATTAGCTTGTCCCATAAACTCAGTAGACATTCTACTTGTGATCAATAAAAACTGAATTTTTGTGATCTTGCCAGGAACCGTGCATCTCAGAGTCCAAACCCTGAAATTTTAATAGTAACTTGACTCAAAGCGAGACTTGGTGGCCGATTGACCTCTTCGTATCATTGCAGTCCATCTGAGGACATTTCCCGTCTCACTGACTTAAAGACAAGACCACTTTGGCCGCTTTAGTCCTAACGATGTTAACGTCATTGAGTGCAATGTCAAGAGTCGTGATACCATCGGGCTAAGGGAGCAGTTTCCCCAAAACGGTTTCACAATCTTGTTATCTTCTGAGTCACTTTCAGCTCCCAAGGGACAGCTTACCAAAATGAGAAAGCATGGCGCGATAATCAACTTAGAGCTCAGACAACTCAACCACTTTGTGTGATGAAATGACACCGTACTGTATATAAATGCAACAAAGAAAAACTCTACTTTTGTAGCGACCAAACGGCGTGGAAATGGAAGAACGTTGGGAGTCAATGTAGGACGCTGGTAGAGAAACAGGTGCCAGTTTTTCAGAATGAGGATGTTTTACTGGGATGATGTTGGTTTGATGGGATGGTTTTAATGCATGGATGATTATGACACATTTTGTTTCTTACCTTGAATTTTTCTAAAGTCTCACCGTGACTGATATCTTTCTGGAGCCACCAACAACTGATCTATACCTCTTTTAACAGTGACATAATAAAAAAGAAACAATTACATCTTCTGGTAAACTCCATTAAACACCTCCAAAACAGTTAATTTATACTCACTCTTGAATTTACAATTCATTTTGTTGATCTTTCCAGGAAACCCACCTTCTCGCGCACACTGGCCTTAATGTTGAAGTGGAGATGTAGGCGGCCGATGGGTTTCGAAATCGGCTAGATGATCTGAGCGGCGTCTTGGGGTCTTCCAGCTTGCGATTCTGGAGAAAGACTGTCCTGACTGCGTCCTCAGCACCCTTCAAGTCCCCAACTTCTGCCCCTCCTTCGAGCTAGGAGGGGTCGGTGATGTTCTCTTGGGATAGGTGCTCTGGCAATGAAGACTTGGTCAGTCTGGGATTGGACAAGGGTTGGGGAGTTTGGGGGGGCAACTGGTTCCGCATTTCATAAATATTAATACAGAGTCCGCCCTCTCCAAATGGGTAGATTCTTTAATTTTGTTAGAGGGGGAAGTGCTTTATTCACTTAATGGCTTTTATTAGTGCCCGGTCCTCAACTCTTTCATTAGCTTAAGTGCTGCTATAATTTACAGGGTAAAAGGGGGTGGGGTAGTGGCAGTGTCTGGGGAGGGTCGATGCTGTTGCTGATGGACCACAGTCACCCTCAACCACTGCAGCTTTTATTAAAAAGCTGCATAGAACTTTGCTGTGTACCATCTGACTGAGCCTTTTCTTATCATTGGTGTGGCGAAAAAGTCATCTTTGTTCCAGCTTTAAGCATCAGTGTTCCTCGACAGATATTTACGCCAAAAAGTTGAAAGGGTCTTAAATCAAATAACCTTTAATAAATGTCCAAAACGTTGCAGTTACTATACTTTAGACTTTGGAAAATATTTTTTTAACTTTCTCATATATGAAGATAAACCAGTTTAGGCCTTAAAAGCAACATTTTGTGATGATCAGATATGTAGTAAACGTTTAAAGCACCCAAGTAATTTTGCTAAGACTCATTTAAAGGAAGAAACCTGGTCAAAACCAGTCATTTTCACCACCTTTCATATGAAAATAAGCACTTCCAGGAGAGGAAACAATCTTAGTGCATTCTTTAAATATTCTAACTAAAGCCTGCTCTAAATACTTGTGCATGAACTAATAGTGCCTATTCCTTTCACCGACTTCTACAAAATGGCTCCGCTGCACGACACCAGCTGCATACTAACATCTGCTAAAACTAGCCTCCCAAAATGCACCAAGCAGATTAAAAGAAGCTTTATTCTGCTCTAGAGTTATGTTACTTGTGAACAGCTTGCATCTGACGACCCCAGACTGCATCAGAGTGAATGAACTGATTAACCTGAGTGGCCGTCCCCTCCGTAGAGAGGGAGCGAGCCAGCAGTCTGCATAACTGGCTTCATCATCAATGTCGCATAAATCAATCAGTTGCAGTGTTGTTTAAATGAGCTTTTTTTTCTTATTCTACGCAGGACTGAAATTTTCATGGTGACATGATACATTACAGGTTCAACAACACTTTTTGTGTCACATTGCTCACAAATGTATTATGATTAATGGATGGGGGGGGGATCACTGCTAAAGAAATCGAGACAAAAGTACTCAATTCAGTTTTTATTGGAGTTTTCTTCGTTTTGTTATGCAAGCCTTAACCAACATTCAATATGAACAATTAATGGTGTTCGGTACTGTTTCCCAACCGTGGTATATTCATGCCAATTTTTATGTAAAGCAAGCGAGTGGAAACCACAGGAGGAGAGACAGATGTTCTTTTGGACATGTTTGGTAATTTTACTGATTAGCTTTGAGATCCACAGACCATGCAGATGTTTAGGAGCTTGTCTACTTTTTCACCAGCTGGATAACATCTTCATCCTCCATGACGTGGTCCTTGCCCACCTTCTGAGGGTTGTGTTTAACAGACGAGCCCCACACAAGTGCACTAGATGGAGGAAAAAAAAAAAAAGACTTTAACCGTATTCACATTTAGCTAAAATAATAACTTCACTATAAAGTAAGCATTAGATGAATAGTATCTTTTAGTTAGAGCCTCCTAACTGCATGTGTCACTGCTGGACTCATCCACTCCCCGGAGGACGTTTAATGCTCAGAGGCACTAACACCCAGACTGATTGATGACTTTGACTCACCCATCTGCTCGTGAAACTTCCTGGATGCAAAACAAAACTCACCAATGCTTCATCTGAGTATTTAGTCATAAAGAGGACCCTGGCTATGGTTGAAATGGTTGAATTTTTCAAAATTTGCCACCCCTGTTTTCAGAACAGGTGTAATACAACTCCTTATTTGGATACAAGCCAAAAAACATTATAGATTCGAGCAATAACATCATACTTTTACAGAAGAGGGATCGTAACTGCGGCATGTTCTCGGTGCCGCAGCAGCAGGTTCACGTGGTTCACTAGTCTTTTTTTTATGCTGGTCAAGATGCAATTTAATGTCTTCCAGGCAGGCTACAGAGGATTATTTTGCATCCAACCTGCGTCGTCTCGGTTTTACGTCTACGAACCTAAAGACCCTTTCTTAGAGACAAGCTGAAGGTCTGCATGACAAATAGGAACCAGTCCAGATTAATTCTAGTCTTGATCACAGCACAGAGTGAACAGAACTTCTTTAATGCCACACATCAAGTGCAATTACTATTGCTTGGCTAATTTCCAAACCTTAAAACTGCTCTGCATGTAAAAAACATCTCTGCAGAGTACAGTATTCATCAGTCCACTCTGTCAATACACTGATGCACCACATTGGGCTGACACTGCCAGAACAAATATTCTATGAATATATCTTAATAGTAAAAAGGCTCTTTTTCCCAAAGCTTCCAATCTTTGGTAGGGAGTTACTCCTCATCCAATGTGCCACGAATCGACAAAACCCCTCTGCTGGTCACTAAGAGCAACCCAACACTTTATAACCAGGTTTTTCCTGCTTGTCTTAATATCATCTGAACAGTTTTCATTTAATTTACTGTTATTTTATTTATACAAGCTTGAAATCTGCCTCATTTGCATTCTCTTAAAATATTTCCTATTGCTCCTCCCCACCAAGCTGCTTAGAATACTAATAAAATCTACTTGGTACAGTTGTATCATTTACGTTTTAGTAATACAGATAATGAACACCATATTGGACTTAATGGCAAATATCGATATCAGTTCTGCCTGATTTGAATGCTATTTGGTTTAAATAAATGAGTAATGCTGAGACTCTGACAAATGCAATGTAATGTAATGTTACATTTTTGTCTTTTTAAGCCTAGTTTATGCGTCGGTGCGGAGACGTGGTGCAACCCCATTATCTGTCGTTGCAAGGGCTCTCCAACAGGCTCACAATGACGGGCAGACTCGAGCCATCTTTTCTAAACGTCCGTCGAACGAAACTGAGAATGCAAGCTTGTGATTGGTCAGGACGCTGCTTCTATTAAATTTGTCAACAGCACTAAAGAGAGCCAACAATATCTAGTAGCAAATGGAGCAGCTTGAAGAATACCTCGTGGAAAAACTCTAAAAACATGAAGGTTTTATACGTCTGTCACAGGAGGAGTATTAACATAAGCAGCAAGCGCTTATATTTGTGGATGGACACACGAGTTTACAGGTGGCAGGGACATGAAGAGGTGGAGGAGAATGAAGGACAAATTTGTCTGTGTTAAAGTCTCTGAAATACAAAAAACAACAGTAAATGCACTATCGGATACATGCCAGGATGCCTCAGAAAAGCGCTACGCCCTCTGTTGTCCTGGCAGGGAACTGCTTTGCTACACTCCCCAAGAGAAGGAGAAGTCCGAAGGCAAAACATCTCCGTCAATGTGTGCGTCTCTTCCACATGGAGCTGAAGCATAAACTAGGCTGAAGAATTGATGTCTGCTAAAACTCTGTTCTGCAGCCACGTCTCCTGTTCGCAAGTCTTCTTAAAGGCAAAGCAAATTACAAATTATAATGTTGTAAGGTCTACAGTACTCACTACTTTAATTCCTTGATGAGATTTTTGTGAATTTTCAAGCAGAAATCCTCCACTGAAGTCCGTCCATTCGGGAGTACAACAGGAGACGTGTAATCAGGCAGCTGGCCTTTGGGTTTGGTGTAGCTGCAATAAACACAACACCTCAGGTGTTACAGTATGAGTAATCATGTTTTTTAATCTGTATATGCCTTTTAGCCCTTTAATCTCACATGCGCACAAGCTGTAGATAGTCCCACATCCGCTCCAGCAGGTCATCAAAGTTCCAGCGGTGGTGGGCTGAGATGGGCACAGTGTGGGGAACTTTGTAGATGATGTCAAGCTCCTCGATGGAGATCTGGTCGATTTTATTGAGCACATAGATGCACGGGATGTAAACCCTGTTGGGAGTTGACAAAGTCAGTGATAATCAATTTTGCCTGTTTTACCCATTTCACTATAGGTGATAATTACATCAACTTCATTAAAGGGATCCTAGGCATTCTAGAAGTCACTAAAGACATTTTCAATTCACCTGAGGTGCTTTTTTCTTGCAAAAGCATCTAGTCTCTCACTGGTATGAATTGAGTTTGGATCGCAAACAATTAAAATTTCAAAAATAAAGAGAAGCAGCATAAATGTTTTAATTCCCTGCGGACACGTTAAGATCAGTCCATGAACGGCATCTTTAAAATAAAATGATGCACTTTCAGGTTTTGTGGTTATATCTAGTAAAAAGTTCTCATTCAACATTTCATTGCTGTGTTTTACATTAACTTGCATAATTTTTCAATGAGCAAGACTGTTTAAAACACCAAACGCTGTATTGAATGCATCTGCAGTGGTGCAGAAGGAACCCGTGTGCAATTTCAGACTCCAACAGGCCACACCCGCAGGGAACGACAGCTTACCGGTTTCCCTCCACCACATCAATCAGGTCATCAGCTGTGACATCACTGCGCAGGGTGATGTCGGCGTTGTGGATCTTGTACTCGGCCAAGATGGTCTTAACTGTATCACCATCCAGCTCACTTTGAGCACACTAATAGGACACGGAGAGAAGATGAAAGGGAAAATGTGAAGCAGAGAAAAAGGCATGACGAAAATGCTAAAGGTGAATAAATCTAGCAAATGTACACACTGGCCCAAAAGCAGCATGAAGAAACAGCATCATGCAATCAAACCACATTTCTTATTAACTGTACAATAACTGTAGAGCTGTTATCTCCCTATAAACCACTGACAAAGCTGCACTTTACTAGACATGTAAGGTTACATGCCCCAGTTACCTGTCAACAGTCTGATGAATAATTTCTTCTGTTCTGTTACATTAATCTAGACGAACCACATTTTTGTTTTGATCATTCAAAATTATTATTATAAATTAAAACATGTAAGAAAGTATTTATTCGTTTCTGTTGCGGATTACGATGAAAATGAGCCCTTCATCCCTGCGCCGTTGTGCCAAGCATCACGTACTGTAGCGGTGAAGTTAATGCCTCCTTTGTCCTTCTTTTTGAACCCGATGTTGGGAGGCTGTTTGTTAAGTCGGATGCCAAAGCCCTCCAGCTCATGTTCTATTAGCTTCTTATGAAGAAGAGGCTTTAACACATCCAGCACTATCAGGATTAGATTGCAGGTTCGAGCCACTGAGAATAAAACAGAAAGAGGAAAGATAACATTCTGTTTTATTAGATACAGTTGGAATGATGCAAGAGAATAAAGCTTGCCATGTCTGCACAATTGTTTGCTATTTTAGGAGCTAGATAGTTGCAGAAACCCTGCTAAGGCCTCTAAGAACATGAAACAGTTATAAATAAAACATTTACAATAAGTCATCGTGTTTTAGGTTATAAACACACAAGTTAGGTCTAGTTGACAGCAATTCATAAAAAAAAACTTTTATTCAAAGTTAATTTCTGATTTCAGTTAAATTCCAAAATTATAACATCAGTGGCTTTCTTTTTGCTTTAGCAGAAATCTAATAAAACTCTACCTGCAATGACCTGCCTGCCTCTACCCTTGCCGTCCTTGGCTCCTTCGATGATTCCTGGAAGATCCAGGAGCTATAAAGAAAAAATAAATCTCAACCCAATGAAACACCACTTTAATATCTCAGGACTGGAAGACATTTTCCTGTACCTGAATTTTGGCACCTTTATACCGAATGACCCCAGGAACTGTTGTAAGCGTTGTGAACTCGTATGCTGCAACCTCAGAGTACACACCTGCTAGGTTACTCAGCAGGGTGGACTTTCCTACTGAAGGAAAGCCAACAAAACCAACTCGAGCATCGCCGGTTTTTGCCACATCAAAACCTGTATGTGAGAGAATAAAAACCTGAATTTCTGTAATTATGGATAAAAACAGACATAAATTTAAATGCCTCATGGGAGAGAAACCTCAGAAACAATTCCTGAATTGGAGCTATTTGTGAATTAAATACACAATATAGTAAGACTACCTTCTCCAGGTCCACCACCACTCCCGCCTTTTGGTGTGATGAGCTCCCTCCTCAGCTTAGCTAGACGTGCTTTGAGCAGACCCAAGTGGTGAGCTGTGGCCTTGTTCTTCTGTGTCCTGGCCATCTACAGTAACACCAGAGTGCATGATGAAATAAGAAGTAAAACATTTAGCTGGACCGTTTTATTGCTTTCAAAGTAGAACTTTAACAGAAGCTAATTACTTGAAATGTCTAAATTTTGATTCATGGCTTGCTCAAAATTAAAAGGAAACTTTAAGAAGACTGGATGGGTGCCTAATATGAGCTCAGTATAATTATAGGAGGTCATACATATCTGTGTTCTATCTGACTTTACACACAGCATACAGATATTGCAGAAAAAATATTAGTTTTGATGGAAAGATGGATATCTATTTCATTACACCAACTTATTTAGATTATTCGAAAAAGTTTATTTAATAATACAGTAGTAGCATTGTTCAAAACATTTAAACCACGCATAACTTCTTCAGGTTTGCTTCCTAGGAAGCTGATTTTCTTGTAATAATCTTTATTTACTGATATTTGTTTTTCTATTGCCGAAATGTAGGAGACAAGGTCAGCCAATGTCCAATATGTACTGCCAATATTTATGGCCCGATTTCAAATAGCCAATATCTAGACATTTTCCACCTGATTTTCATGCTTAACTGTCACTAATAACGGTTGATGCACAAAATTTCTGAAGCAGTTTTTGATCTCTAAATTTAACGAATAATGGGCCATTCCCATCTGTACCGGGTCGGCCCGGGCCGGGTAGCCCCAGTCGGCCCCAGCCTGGCCTGGTTGATTCCACACATTCTTGTCTTAAGCCCATGTGGGCTGATTCTACCCACCAATCAGAGGCTTGCTCTAATGGAAGGTGTGAATTTGCTGTCAGCAGTGGGTGTGTTGGCCCTGGTCGGCCTGAAGCAGACCCCCTTGAGAAGAGGGCTGAGAATGAGCCTTGTTTGGCCCAGAAAAATACCAGACCACCCAGATATGTAAACAACCTACGCTACCCGGCCCGGGCCGACCCGGTACAGATGGGAATGGCCCATAACTGTTAACTTTGTGCACTGTGAGGCAACTATATAAAGTTAGAGTATTTATTATGCAGATTTTATTAGTGAATGCAAAAATACATTTAGATTAAATTCTATAACAGCACCGGGCTGCCTGAGGATGTGCCTGACTTTAAATTGGCTTTCTGAAAGACAAATAACACTGATGTATAAAAAACCGTTAATATCGGCCTATATATATTGGTCTACCCCTAATTCTAACTCTGCTTTTATATTTTGTAGCACTCTAAAGAACTGGAGACAATTTGTACTTTTATAACAGATTACCAACAAACAACCATTTATTACACGTATCTGAATTATATTTGATGCCTGTACGCTCAGAGTGGCTTAAAAACAAAAATTTGGTCCGGTGCCGTTTTCGCGTCAGTGCATTTCGATATTGTCAACTCAGCGCATCTGTCAGTTAATAACGATAATATTAAAGCAATTAACAGATTAAATTAATCAGTTATTCAAATCTAAGCTAGAACCGGTTTAGCATATGCGTTGCCAACATCTGTGAACTGACATTAATCTCTTTATTCATCTATAAGTGACAACTAAACTGAACACTGAAATACATTTTCTTTTTTTAACAGCTTAAACTGTCAGGGATCCGGGGCCAGTCAAATATAGGTTAAAATGGATCTTCTTTTATGAGATAGCGTTAGCGACTAGCAGTAGCTATGTGAACTAAACGTGACAGACTCGAAGGGTTTAAAGCGTCAACTTTCGCCTTACCTCATTTTCTATCTCTGCTATTTTGGCAAGCACACTCATGGTTACGTTGATTCTAAAGACCACTTCACCTTAACTATGTATACCGGAGAGGTTTACCGACAAATATGACAAAGTTTAGGTGGTTAGGTTTAGTTAGCGTGTACAGTAACACACACCACACAAACGCGGCTACGCCAATTCACGGAAAGTCTCGCGAGATCGAAGACCTTCCCTACGTAGCCTCGCCGTAAACGTCATTTGGAATCGTATGACGTCCCGCTTTTCTCGCCTCTGATTAGCTGGATGGGCTCTGTTGCGATTGGCTATTTAATGTAAGAGGAACCGTCTTTCCTCGCTACAGGGTTACAGCCTAGGTCTTGAGGAGTTTAAAAAAAGAAAATATGAATTTAGCGCTACAATAACCATTCTGTCCTATTTTGCAACATACCAGCTTCATTTTCTTTTATAAAATTACATAAAAAACGTCAAATGTGAGCTTATAATAAATATTGTTGTTTACAAGTTAGAACACATCTCTCATCATCTGATTAAATGTATATCGAAATTGAATTCAAAGCTGATTATGATTTAGACTTTTTTTCAGCAGTTTTCATTACTCTAGAAGAGAAACAGACCTGCAACCTGGGTGAAAAAGGGCAGTTTTATTATATTTCACACCAAGGTAAGGCATACATGTTTATCCTATTTACTCTGCTTTAATAAGATTGCATCAATGCTTGAGAGCCAAGAGATATAAAGTATGTCCAACAGTGTGATAAATAATTTCACAGTTGTGTTTCAGTTTTGTAAGTAAAAGAAACAAAAAGCACGCAGTATTTTGCAAAACAGGACAGAATGATTATGATAGCGATAAGTTCACATTTTCTTTGCAAACTCCCCAAAACAGCTGCTCTGTTGGTGGCAGGAGCAGGGCCAGATTAACACTTTGTTGTACCCTGGGCAACAATATTCAAGGGCCCCATCATCATGACCCAAGGATCACCATAATATGGTCACATACAGAATATTTTACTGTAATATGCAGTAAATATACTCAATACTTGAATGCCTGACATCATGTAACCTGCTCAGGGTAACCTTTGACCCACCTTGTGTGGACTGACCAATGAGGAGAGGGTCTTAACTTGAGGCCCTCTCTTCACTGGTCAGTCTGGCATGAGACTGACTCTCAACTGACGTTCAAAGTCATAGAGCTAGCTCTCAGTAGAGCCTCGGTCTGGCTTGGAAACTGTTCCAGGATTTTGAGTCTCTGTGTTTGTGCATTCTTTTTTGGATATTTTTTGTGCAATTGTTGGACAAAAAGACTTGCTGTGGCATTAATTGCACTAATAGAGCGTCCAAGGAGTCTCCACTTCATTTTTTTCGGTAAGTAAAATTATATTTATGTATTTTAGGTCACTGCCGAGCTGAGCTTAGATTTTAACATGTAGTGATTAACCATGAAATTTAAATGTAATAGGGTAAAACCCAGTGCATTTAACATAATGCTGCACTTTAGAAAATGGGTTGAAATATAACATGTTGGTGGAGCTGGGTTCCGACAATCGGCTTGTGGAGCTCTCGGGAGACCGATGTTTTCCACCCGGTTCTTCCCTCCCCGCAGCTCGGCGCATCTCTGTCTGATCGCGGCTTCTGTCTGCTGCGCGGGCTGCCAGCTTGTGGAGCTCTGGGATGGAAACCTTTCCTCCCGGTTCTCCCCAGCGGCAGCCCTGCGCATCTCAGATCGCAGCGGCGCTTGTCTGCTGTGCGGCTGCTGGCTTGTGGAGCTCTCGGGAGACCTCTGTGTTCCACCCGGTTTTACCCAGCGGTCAGCCCGGCGTATCTCTGACTCAGAAGCTCTGTTGTTGTGCACAGTTAACTCCGGTTGTAACTAGGTTGTTACCTCCGTTAGCTTAGCTCCCACCTCCGCGTTAGCTTTGGGTTAGCTTCAGGTTAGCTTGTAGCTAGTTCGACCGGGTGTCGTCAGTTGATCCCAGCCTTACAGCCCCACCCTCAGCTCCACCTCTCTTTCCTTTTGTGGAATTGTCTGGGCTTGACGGAACCTTGACACGGTCAAAATGGCGGTGGTGGCTACCTCCCATTTTAGCTCAAAAACTTATTATTGGAGTCTATGGAAACCCATTGTCCAATATTTATATGTCGATGTCAATGACTGTCATCAATGTATCAAATATTCAAAGAAATTCATAAACGGTATTCATGGTATTATATTCTTAACCAATTCTGACAATTGAACAGACAGTTGTGCATGCGAGTACTTATACAATGTAATCATGCTGACATGTTTTGGAGAGAATGATCATTAGACTGAGAATCAACTAATCGGTTTAGATCTACAAGATCTATTTATTTGGAAAATGCTAAATGTGGGCTAACTGTATAACTGTAGGCTACATGTACTTAATCGTTTGCAAAGATGCACTGAGACAATTGAGACATGTACTAAGGCATTTGCCATTTGATAAAATGAATGAGAAATGCCATCAGAAATGCCACCTCCAAGAGGTTTGGAGGTTTGTCCATATTATTTTGAGAATGTAATTTCTGTTTCAAGAAATGAGCCAAACCAATGGAGAAAAACTGTAATATAGCGTGACAAGAGTCGTCTGAAGGTACTTCGCAAAGTAAACATTCTAATACAGTTCTAGGGTCTCATTTATAAAACATTGCGTAGAATCCTTACTAAAACCGTACTTAAGCTCAGCAAAAAAAATGTACTTACGCCAAGTAGGTTTGTGACGTATAAAACATGCAGCTGACGGCAATCTCTGCTTTATAAATCAGAGACTTACGAGAGAGGTTCTCAGCTGCTTTTTAGTCACATCCCGCCCTCAACACACCCACTTTCTGCCATAAATGGCCAGTGCAAAATGCCTTGTGAATCTCATGCATATACATAAGCCGGCTTGCTGCAGCATTTTGTGTCCGTGCGCGGGTGTGTGTGCGCGTGTGGGGGGACTCGTTCTGTGTGCGCACGAAGCAGTACAAGTGGTAATGCTGCTGGAATTCATAATTTTATCCTTCTCAGCAGCAGCACTGCAGGTGCTCTCCATGTCCAAAATGTGCGTAAGCAAGGTCCTTAGTCAACTTAAAGTTGCGCACATTTTTCCGCTAAGTTTTCTTTTATAAATCCCAAAGTTAGCGTGGAAAGCTGCTTACACAATTTTCCGTCCCCGTTTTGTCCGTAAGAAAGCTTTATAAATGAGGCCCCAGTTCATTAAGCCTATCAGAAAAAGTTTCCTGTAAGGAATCCAGCAGGTTGCATTGAGTCACTGACTGGTGTCAGTGTCTTTGCAGCACTCTGCATACTAAGCAAGCATACAGCGACAGTGGAGAGGAAAACTCCACAGGAAGAAACCTCCAGAGGTTCCTGACTCATAAGCAGCCATTCTGGGGATCAAGAAGAAAGAGCAGGCACACACACACACACACACACACACACACACACACACACACACACACACACACACACACACACACACACACACACACCATTGTGATTTATTAGTAAATGTTCTATTTAGTAAGAGATGCATTTTATTGTATTTATCTTAGTGAATCTATAATTAATTCAACAGGTAAACTAGTAGTAGCACATTCCATGTCAAGAGGGAGAATGTTTACTGTAAGTGGTTCGCAGCAGTGTGCTAGCCGATGGCCCCCTCCATGAGGCTACCACAGCTTAGCAGAACACCATTGTAACTTCTTCTGAGGAGAAAAACATCTTCACAATCTTGTAAGTAATTTTCTAACTCTGTACCACCAACCTACGACTGGAAAGTAGCCTACATTATTAAATCTGGCATTTTTTCACGATGTGCTTATAGTTCCCCTAACAAAAAATGAACAGGCTATCTAATATATATTCAGTGCTGCCTCACAATTTTTAGTGTGTCTCATCCCCAGTAGAAGACATCTGAATTTTGAGAAATTGGTTCAAAAATTCCAAATGTTTTCACAAATAAAGCGTGATTTAAACAATAAAAGGGACCATTTAGTTTTAAACTGTAACAAGTCCATTATCATTTAATAATACTTTTTCTGGCTGAAAATGCATTTGTAGGCAATAATTGCTCAAGAAAAGGACTTTTACTTCTAATACAGATCAAGAAACCGAGAAATCTGCAATGTAAACACTTAAGGGGAAATCTACATCTGTTCCAAACAAATTATTGACACTTGATAAAAACAAATTTAAAGATTTTTTGTAATTTTAATCAAGGTAAACAAAAACAGTCTTTCTAAAGTTTGCTGGGGAGACAGGCCTTTTACAACTGCTAATGTATTTTAATTTGTGCATCTCTTATTTTTTAAGATCTTTCATTCTGAACTTTATTTTCTTTCTTCTCTGCAACAGTATATCATGACCTCTACCTGCTACAAATCAGTTACTTACCACAATGTGTATCCCCGCTGTAAAAAAGTGAGCATAAAATCAGCTGTAACGTAGTTATTAAAGCACACTTTAGTCTGACAATAAACATTTAAACCTGTGTCTGTTGGTTAAGTTGGGTTAGGTTTTAAATCAAAACAAAAGTCTACCACTGTTGATCTGAGAAAACTTTGCATTATACACAACCACCATTTGTAATTCATCCTGTTTGGTGCACCATCTCACACAATGAAGAGACAATTCTGCATTTTATTATTTAACTGTTTATATTTAAGTTGCACACATCATAATCTGTCATTGGTTTATTTGTTGCTAACGTCTGTGGACTGCACATCTGTCGTTTTGCTAACTTCCTGCCTGATTTTAGCGGGTTAGCAACACGAATGCTGCTACCAGATCCCTTTACCTCATGCTCTGTATTACTTCACAAAGTTTGGGCAACTTGTGTAAAATAATAAAAAAAAATTCTGAGGAAAAACCTCACTTACAAATTCTCTCCATCCACAACATCTCAAACCGTGTGCTAGATGTGCCTGTTGTTGTTTCAGAGGTGCTCATCCTCGTGAGAATCTATAAAAATAAGCATTTTCTTTCCAGCATTGAAAGGTAAGTGGAGTTTACAGTTGTTCAGGTTTTGTTTTCCACTGCAAGCAGAAATAGCACAAGAGAGTTGAGACACTTCGAGAGACGGATGTAACCTAATTCGTGATCATTCAATGCATTTCTACAGACTTCACAAGTCGAATGTATCTTGAAACAGAATAAAAGGAGCTTTGACTCGATTCACTACATTTGAATGAGGAAGGGACAACGATTAACCCATGCCCAAACAGCTGACATGTTTTTCTTTTTAATGAGTAACGCATCATTATATCACGTGTCAGACAGCATTGAAGTGCATTGCTTAAAAAGTAAGTGCAAGTACAGATTTCGATGCATTCATTTCAACTTGAGGATTAAATTGTTTGCAATGCCTCCACCCCCCCACAAAAAATAGGCATTCTACACGGGGGACTCAGCAAAGGAAAACTGCTATAGTTGATGCTGTTTCTAACCTAAACGATATTTGTTTTTATTGTTCTCCTCATTTCAAGATTTCAACGTTTATCTCCGAGTGACAGTGAGCAGGAGTGATTTTTATCTGCCTGCCTTTTCACGTCACTCTAGGTCATCAAACACAACACTTTTCCTCAGTATCCCCGGCATGCTCCCAGACTGGCACACGGCAATTGAATCAAGCCAGTGGAAGCACAAAGTCTGTGAAAAAGCACTATTTTAGTGCAATAGTTTCACACCTGGTAACCTTGCCACCTAGAACTGGCAACCTCTGCATAGAGACGGAGAGGAGTTCTTATCGTAGCCCCATTGGTAGGCCTGTTATTACTGAGGGAAGAGCCGTCATTTGCGGTCTGTCACCAGAGCAAGGATAACAACTCCTTTTGAGGTAATAAAAACAATAACAGCACGAAGTTATCCATTAAAACTCATTGTCCTCAGTAACTCGGATTCTGTTATCAGAATTTGGATAATACTTATTGAAACCATAAGGCTTTACAATAAATGCAACTTGGCCATATGATGGCAAAAGTCTTGAGTGGAGGCCTTCCCCTTGGACTCTAGCTGCTCTCTGAGGAGGTGGGAGGTGCCGTGGAGGACGACCTCCTTCGTGACACCGACTGGGAGCGCTCAGGGCTGTGTTTGTCGTAAGGCTGCAGCTGCACCTCCAGGAAGTCCCTGTGCTGCTGGCTGATGACCTGGCTGATGAGTCCAGGAAGAGCTTGCAAGTTACTCAGTAGAGTTTCCAGCTTTGTCTCCAACAGGGCGATCCTCTTCTCCATGTCCTCACCTCTCTCGTTTAAGTCCGACACCATGTCGTACATGATGTTCTGAGTCTGCAATGGGAGAGAGGAAACATTCTTGATGCAATCGTTTCTTTAAGAGGAGGTAGATTTACATTCATAACCTGAAGTGAGTGCATGTGTTGCTTTTAAAAGTAGAAATTTACACAAAAACATCTTGATATTTTATTATTTGAGTGGCTTTGGGCTCAATCTGTAAAAAGATTGAAACTAACGCTCCAAAGATGGTGAGAATCAACACGAAATATGCACTGAAAATATGACGCTCAATCAAAATCTGCAGAGGAAAATAAATAACAAAATGTGAATCAAATAATGGATGAAAGATAACCTGAATACTCATAATAATACGTAAATGCTACTTAAAAATACAATGTTAAGTTTAAATGTTGAACTCCAATTATGAGTACTGAGGCTTTACACTATATGGCTGACTGCCAATTCAACAGGGGCAGAGACAGGAGTAGCTTACCAAAATAAAAGCAGGTACAAGAGAGCTAAGTTGTCAGAGATCATTCAACAACCATGGATCATTTATCAAGCTAAAAATCCAGACAAAAACACAGGAAAACCAAACTCTAAAAGGAAAAAGAAATTACTGTACTTTAAAATGCACCTTTTTTCTTATGACATTCTGAAAACGCATGTTTGCTAAATATTTATATTCAAAATTCCCCCTCCTTTAAATCTTAAGTTCCAAACTCAGAGGAAATTTTTTAAATTTGATTCTATTTATTTGTTTTTACCATCATGATCACAATTAAAGATGTAGTTTACTTGTTTATTCAATACATTTGCAGTGTTCTGTAGTGTAAATCAATGGTTTATGAGTCGTTAAAAAAAGAAGCTATAATGCACCTGTTCTGAGATGCAGAAGTTTGCTGGTGCAAAGCAGGATTGCTCATTATTATTAATGATATGCCCACACCTCGCTTCTGATTGGCTAACAGAATGCATTCAGCCATGCTGCAAAGTTGCTTTCACTAAGACTCCACTCTCTCTCCTCGCTGCAAAAAAAGAACAAAACAAAACAAAACAAAACAAAACAAACAAAAAATATTTAAAAATCCTTCCTGGGACAAGCCAAGATGGGCAAGGCCATGAATGTAAATTCACAGTGTGACATAGATATGTGAGGATTTTAAAATCCTAGAGCAGGGGTCGGCAACCCGTGACTCTGGAGCCGCATGCGGCTCTTTCATCCATCTGATGCGGCTCCCTAGACTCTGCTTGTAAACTAATTAATGAATATTTAATTACAATGTGTTTTATTCATGTTTTCATCTGTAGCCAATTCTAAATTTAAAGGTTGTCTGCGTAAACGTGAACAGGTCACCTGCTTGTGCGTAATCAAATGTCTCTATAGGAGCTTTCTGAGCTGAAGAGGAGATTCTGGACTGTTTCTCAGACAGGCTCATGGATGCGTCGCAGTGTTGGAGACAGGATCAAGCGCTATTCAGCCAAAGATTCATAATCAGGGAACATTTTTTTAAGTGACAAGTCTCTGAGAGACCGGGTTTAGAAAACACAGAATCTTCCTACATGGTTCTGGTTCTGTGATGCGCCCCAAGCCCCCGATCTATCTTCAGCTCGCTGTCCACGTTACGCGCGCGCTGACAGGGAGCTGCGCTGAGCTCAGTGTCCATCTCAGATGTTCTGATGGGAATCTTTTCCTGATTGATGTAGCTGCCTCCACGATGTGCGTTAAAATGTCAGCGCATCTGCAGGCTTGAGATTTCTCCTTCAAAATAAATAAACATCGGGTCAGTGCGAACCCTGTCATTTAACCGTTTTACCTTCTAGTGAAGATTGTTGCAAACAGAAACATTAAACCTGATGAACACCTGAGCCACGCACACTGTGCCGTAATCTCCATCAGTGTAAACAAGGAAAAAAAAACTAATTGCCTTTTCTTACCTTTTCAACAATGTTTAATGCAACATTTAGTTCAGTACAAAGTTGAATTACAACAGTCCAACGAGACAAAGCCTGGATTTGTATTCTGAACAGTTATGTGTGATGCCTCAAAAAGCGTCACCTGCTCAACTATTAAAACCACTAGCAGGGTGAAAAAAATCGAAATATTGTAGCACAGACGGCCTACAACTTTTGGATCAATTTTAAACAAACTATTTCAGCAATTATCTTCTGTTGAAAGATAACTTTGAGGTACATGAGCGACTGGTACTGGTTGCTGTCACCTGTTGTGATCGGTTAAAGCAGCTCTGCTGTCAGAGGGTAGGCCCCGCCCACAACGCTGCGGCTGCTGCGGCTCCCAGTGTTTTCTTTACTGTGGGAAACGGGTAATAATGGCTCTTGGATGGGGAAAGGTTGCCGACCCCTGTCCTAGAGTTTCACCGTCTATTTTCTATCAGAAGCTAAAGCAGGAGGCAGGTGTAGGAGACTATCTTCATGTTCAGCCTGCATGAAAAACTCAGAGTGACCGATTATAATCAGAAATAATCATTAAAAAATGTTTTTTCAGTCAACCACACCTTTAAAGATTCTGACATGTTATAATTTACAAAAAAATTGTATAATAAAAAAAAAATTATAAAAAAAATTCACACAATTTTATTGTCACGAGGAGCCAATTGTGGCAAAATGTACATGGTCATCTTTAATGTATTACTTCACACTCAAGATTCCCAGAAAAGTATGACAGCAATTTTATTCAGCTGGTGCAAACAAAAATTAAAGAATAAAAATAAATAAGTCATATTCTTACTACACTGCTTCCTGCACTACAATGTTTTTGCATTCAAACATTTGCCAACCGTAACCTCCTGGAATCCGTCTTCTGGAATCCGTCTCACAAGGACAGATTTAAATAGACCGTCTACAGAGCACAATGTTTCCATGCAAAAAAAAAAAAAAAAAAAAAAAGCCTATTTGGTAAATGATCTCAAGGACACAGTCATAGAGCCTGCTGATGTTGCTTTTAGCTCTTTTGATGCATCGGCTTTCTGTCAGCAGCTTCAAAAACACCTTGTAGCTTTTGATTTGCACAAACACTTTGCTTCGCTCCTCCGTGATTGTCAACAACAGACGCAGGAACTCATGCCACATTTCACGTGAATTTTAAGTGTTAAGCTGCCGGAGAGGGTTTTCACAGGTATTAATCACTGTGGGACCTACAATCCCAGGCAGGCAGAGACAGTGTCATCCATCACTTAGCTTGTCCTCTTCTGATCGGAGACAAGCATGATGGGATGGGTTTTTTATTCAAAGAGAAACACTACACCACTTATCCTGATAGCAGCACGAGTTTTACTAGTTTTACATGCAATAGCTCTAATTATGTAAAGATCTTTGAGTGGATCAATAGGTAAAACCTGTTTATGTGTTTTTGCAAGTAGATACAGAACTGAATGTCAGTAGAGCTTGGAATTAAACAATTCCCTTTGTCCCATAAATGAAGGATAAAATTGTATTAAATGAGGAGTAAAGTTACAGAAAAAGAAAGCAACCATGAAACAAACCTCAAAATGACACAATCATCTCATTTTTAGAATGTTAATAAAATAAAAATAAAGGGCGAAGATTGTTTCAAGATAACCATTTTTTTGTATTTTAAAGTTCTCATTCACTGTTTATTTTTTCAATACATTTGCAGTGGTCTCTAAATGATTGCCTTGTGAATCATTTTCTGTGGAAAAAAAAAGCTTTGGTGCTCCTGTATCAGAAGTAGAAGTTATTCAGAGGAGTGGGAGGCAGCACAGCTCTGTTCGCTCTGCAACGTTGATGTTTCAACTTTACAATTATCTCGAGCCTGAAGGAGTTCTGCCAAGTTTTGGAGTTGCTAATGCTAATGGCTAGCTTCTACTAGCTGAGATGCACTCTGCTCTCTCCTGGATGCTAAATCAATCACTGCCTATCCCTGTCACAAGCCAAGATGGATCTACAAAATACGTTGTAGATCTGTGTGGCTGCTTCTTTCCTCTACTATTTCCACCTTCAGCCTGAATGTGAAACTCAGACCATATCACAAGTAAAAAAAAATCGTTTCTTGGTGAATCTGTTCGCTATTGGATTGTAACGGATGCATTAAGGGGATACATTGTGATCTGATGGTTCCCCCCCCCCCCCCCCTTCAGTGCACTGCAGTAGTAATGCACCTTTCACAGATGATGCACCTGTTCAGCTCATTCTGTCCACTTAAGACTGTGATAATCCAGAGGTTGCACCGCCCTCTAATGGCTACAGCCTCCTACATCAACGGTTTGATATTTATGTGGAGCTCCACTGGCCATTAGGCCCCTTTCCCAATGCTACATCCTAAATCCCTCTGCTGCAGCACGAGACGATCAGGCAGTATTAACCAATACCTTACGTGCTCACTGGTGGGAATCCAGCTCGACTGTGGTGTGCTTTTGAATGTCAACGCGCTCCACCTTTCTCTCATCCTTTTCTCCACCTTTCTTTCTGGCTGAGTCATCAGATCACAGTGTGTCTCCCTTCTCAGGTTAGTGTTTCTGCTGCGTCAGGTTGGCACGCTGCCCGGTCTTTCCCTGAGGCATGTCCACTTATGTTTGGTGTATCCGAAGACAAACATTAGTGGATGCTCAACATGAAAAACTGCTGGGTTTCTCGTTAGTCTCATTCAGTTATTTTCTTGAGAATGAGTCCTGTAGGACAACACCTTAGAGGGGGGTTATTATTCAACACCCAAACAGTCTAACACTCAGGCATGTGCAGTCACACACAGTAACAGAAATGCAAAGCCAGTCTGTTTATTTGACACCTGTAGACTTTGTCTACATAAGAAATTCAGTGAGTGAAATGGCATGCGTTGAATTCCACTCACAAAAGTACAAAGAAACCTGGTTTGCAGAGGTCTGTGATCGTCTATCTTACCTTAGCAAGGTCCACTAGTGAGTTTGCTTGGTCATTCAGCTTGCGTTGCTCCATTTTAACACTTCTCAATCTGAACACAAGACCATTCAGAACCCAGTGAGTCGACTCTATCAGAAATCGAGGAATTTGTGTGCACACAAGGCATACGCATGAAGAACACTCCTGGGACATGCACAGGATGTGTGTTGGAGAATGAAGGGATTGCAGGGAAGGAGTCTTGGCTGAGCTGCATGCAAGTGGAAGGGAGGCCACAAAGGAGGCGGGGGGAGAGGGAGGAAACAGCAGCTCAGCGTCCTTAGATAAAGCTCACACTAAAGGAACGAGGGGCTTCGGATTAACGCCTGTGCTGGATAATGAAGGTTTAAAGTTTGATTCTCTAAAATATCACATATGACCTTCAGATTCCCCCCTAACTTTCTTTTGATACAGACAACTTTTCTATGTTTAGGCCCAAAATCAACATAAAGCAAAAGGTACAGGTACAATAAAGCCCATTCATTTCAGTAATCTAGCTTAGACTGAGAAACCATCTAAAGGCTCAGGAACTCTTTGCAGGTGTTCTGGATTCATTAGCTGATTAGAGTGTGACCCTTTGAGTCTAGAATGTTGAACCTTTTCACAATATTCTAATTGCCTGAGGTTTTGAATGTGGGTTTTTTATAAGCGGTAAGCCATTATCATCACAATTATAACAAATAAAGGCGTGAAATATGTGGCTTTGCATGTCATGAGTCTATCTTATAAATTAGTTTCATATTTTAAGTAGAATTACTGGCATGAATGAATTTTGCACCATATTCTAATTTTTCATTTCACACCTGTATTTGAGTCTATTTTGCATCAAAAACATGAACCATTTAGACAACAAATTAATTTCTATGCATGCAGTTTCATTCTTCACTTTCTGACATCAGCCTAGACCAGACATTAGATAAAAAAACAAAAAACTCACTAAGTTTGCATGACTTTTTAATAAAAGTGGGACTTGAAAAAAAGTTTACATAAAAGTTTTACTTGTGGTGGTTGTTAGTTGTGCAGTCATGGGTATTTTTATATCAGCTAAAAAAACAACAACTGGAAAAATAACCTTTTAGATACATGATGCATAAAGTTTAATATTTACTGATGAATTAAATTGTTATTTTACATTTTCTATGTTTGTTTCCCTAAAAAAAGCAACAATGCAGATTTTCAGCTTCATGTGATTTAAATTAAAATCTAATGTCGTTTGAAAGTTTCACTTTTAGATTTTGATTTATAAATGAGAAAAACCTTTTAACTGTGACATTATTGAAGTTTGTCATCTGATCATTTTACATGTAAATTAATGTTAGAATCAATAACGTCCTAGAGGATAAAAAACCCCTTATAATTTAGGCTAGCACGAGATTATTTTCTATTCCAGAAAACAAACTCATTCAGAGCAGGTGACAACTTTCACCAACAGAGGGCGCCACACGAGTCTCAAAGAAATCAGGGACGCTTAAAATCCTGACATTTGAGACCTGAAACTGTTTATACAGACCAAAGATGTACTAAATACTAGACAAACCCTGATCCTTTTCTAATTTTAGCAATTAAACAAAACTTAAAAGGAGGCAGCATCTTTGAGTTTCTAACAGCAAATAGATATTCGGCGTTAAACGCTTTCGGGGGGATTAAGCCCCGTCGGAAACATTCATCTCACAGTAGGAGGATGGATGGCTCTCAGGAGGGGTTGAGGAACAGAGCAGCTCGAGGTCATAATGAAAACCCTACTTATCCTATCTGTTAAATGTCCATTCCCTGAGTCTATCATTCCTCCTCACAGGCAGCTCTCCTTTTGAACAGGTGCTCTTAAATCTGCCTGTGATTCATCAGGGGAAAAGGCTACGCTGAGCTTTTCAATACCACACTAAATCTCTCTCACAGCAATCTTGCTCAATGCCGCTCCCACCTCCCGTCTCCGTCACGACTACCACTGATTTTATGCAGAGTCTCGAATGCATGTTTGTGTGAGAGAGCACCACTTTTATCACATGTGCAGGTCTTGAGTGAGTTGCCTCATTGGGACAGCAAGTCTATTAGATGCCTGGATTATTTCCTTCATCTGATGGCGCCATCTTGTGGCTAACAAGCCCATTACACCAAGATGTTGTTTCATCTCCATATTTACGACCAAAAGCAACGCCTCTCGTTCATGAACGCGTTTCTCTAGCTAACAAAACAAGGCAAAAATACACTGATTTACATTACTTGCTACTTGCTACATGTCCATGAGAAAGGTGACAACTCTGCATCAACCGTGCTTAAACGCTGGAGCACGCTCTGTGATTGAAGTCTGCTCGTAAGCAGTAGTCTAACACTACTGGTTAGTGCTGACCAGCGCTCAGTTCATGTTGCAAGGAACTCTACGGGACAGGGGGCAGGCTTAGCAAAAAACAAACAAAAACAATAACAAAAAATGACATAATGCTTACATTACATTACTTGATAAGACAATCACTTTTGTGGATTTCTGAAAAATCATACATAATTCCTGAAAGGGGAAACTCCAGATAGCAACTTAAAGTGAATCTGGAGGGAATAAAATTTTTAAATCTGCTGTAATTCTAACTATTTTTGTCCGTTTCTGCTTCTTTACAACATTAAAAGTGTCAAACCTGGACCGTGTTGACTTTTAAATGGACTTTTATGCTATTATTATAAAGTCTTTTTGGCCTCACATTAGTGTGATAAACAGGCTGTATTACTGCACTTTTTGTTTGACCGTTTCTGTCTCTTAGTCACAGTTTCAGGCACAAATGAGATTTGTTGGAGGTCGACCTCCCTCAGGTCACTTCTTGTTGACTGATCTTCCAACTAACAAGCACTCTCTGGCCTCCGTTGTGTCGTGAGTCACACTTTGACCTTGAGGACGGCTACTGACAGTTATCCCAAAAGGGATAATATGATTGTACCAAGACATTTGATTTCACAGCTGTTATATCTCAAAGATGTTTAGGTTCCTGCCTAAGTCGTGTCAGTGTTTAAACCGCTAATCATCCTTGCATATCAGATGTACTTTATGTCCTTGTTTAGCATGCTGTTTAACAGCCTGGATGTCTGCTGCTGTGTTGTCTGACAAAGGAATGAGGGAAAATGTGGCTGCAAATGCAGAATCAGGCGTAAGACAATGGTTCCACACGCCGAAAGATGACCCAGAGCCCTGCTCTGTGTGAGCATGGCTGCTTCGATGACCAGAACAAGTTTTTTAGCAGGAGAACAAAATATCTATTTGCTCGTAATACAGCAGGTATTACAGCTCCAGCCATCATCCTTCGGTACGTGAAATCACATTTGATTGGAGTTTAATCAGCAGCTTTCTGATTAAAGATCAAAATCTCATCACAATCCATGCAGAAATGGAAAGAAAACCCCCCTCCATCACCGATAATTGAAATTCACTTGGGTATGTTGGTGTTTGCATGTGCCTGATAAAACCCTGTGTGGCACCTTAAATAATCCTCCTGAAACAGCTGGTTAGGGATCACATCTGTTACTGAGGCATGAATTTCACTTATCGAGTGAAGGAGTGTCATTTTTAAGTAGCATCATTGGGTTCAAGGACAAGCTCTTGTTAGCATGCACACAACAGGTCTCTTTCTACATTAAAGGCGAAGACTTACTTCCGAGCTCTATTGCATTGTGCGGACACAAAGAGGAAACAAAAGAAAACATGAAGTAGACAAATGGATTATTACAACATCAGAGAAACATGTTCAGATGAGATTAACCTGACCTCGCCTCGTTTCTGAACCGCAGTTTTCTGCCCTGAAATCTGTCGCATTTCTGTGTTTGTTGTTTCTAGAAGCTACAGCGCTGCTCTAATGCCTTTCACCTCTACTTATGGTCCTAAACCTGGCTATCAAAGCCAGATGATGAGTAAATGAAAACAGCCTTTTTGACATTTGGAATGGAACTGGAACGGTGTGTGTGTGCACACATGTGTTTGAGTGATATTGTAAACCTTAAAGGAGGGATTCTGGTTCACTTGTTTAACCAACACATTTCTGCGGTCTCAAGTAGGAATGAATGCATTGTAAATCGTTCTCACGGGGGGAAAAAATACACCGGTGCAACATTTGAAGGAACTAGTAGTGACCCACATCACAGCTGAGCTTCAGACGGCAGGTTTTTCAGCCTTATTTCCTGATATTTGGACATCTCATCCCAGATTGGATAACAGCAACATGACTCAGACTTGCAACGTGGATGTTTTATTGCCAATTAACTCAAGCCTGGAGGAATTCTGCCATGTGGTGGAGTTGTTAATGCTAATGGTTAGCTTCCACTAGGTGAGATGTTCCCTGCTGATTCCGGGAGTCAAGATGGGTGAGTCCATGAATGTTAAGTGACAGTGTGACGTAGATCTGTCAGGATTTTCAAATCCTAGAGTCTATTTTCTATCAGACGCTAATGCAGGAGATAGGTGTAGGAGACTATTTACATGTTCAGCCTGCATGAAAAACTCAGAGAGACTGATTAAAATCAGAAATTTCTGAAATGTTGCTTATGCAGATGTTTTATTTTATTCTAATTATTTAGACCCAATGTAAGCCTAATGTTACCACATGCATGTAAAAGAACACTGTTTCATGTAAAAAAGGTGTAAGAGGTTTCGTTTATAAGTCTAAATGATGCTCTAATGCACACCTGTCATGGTGTACATGGGCAAATGTCAAGGTGAGCAGTCATGAACACATCATTTTTTCTAGACATAGGTCGATAGCTAAAAGGCTGATGATGTTTTCATGTTTTTTTGGGTGAAAATTTTCAATTGAATGCTTTATAATTTCTGTGGTTTACTACTTTTCATTTTATACACTGGAGTCACATATACAACTCTGAATAGTTATTATTTTACAGAAGGCTATAGTTCTTTCATGTACTTCTTTAACGTCACATTGAAACAGAAACTTTTAATTTTAAGGGCCAAGTTCACTTTGTGGCTTCATTGTTTTTAAGGTACAGATGCTTAAAATCTTTCTTTTTACTCAGAAACACCAGAGACTGCTGCACTTGACAATCATTCTCACTTGCAGTGTTGGCCAAGTTTCTTAGGTTACTAAATAATTAGTTTTAATTACTAGTTCATTAGATGAGGAAGACAAACAGGAGATCTAACTCTGAGAATTCTATTTTATTGAGCAAGAAAAAGTAGACGCGTTTCAGTCGCGTACGACCATCTTCACCTGACATCATCAAATCTTGACACTGATTTTGGGACATCTTGCCTCTGATTGGCTAACAGATACATGCCTCTACCACTGACTATTTGCTTTCCAATGTTGATGTTTTATCTCCACAAATAACACAATCCTAAAGGAGTTCTGCTGAGTGGTGGAGTTGCTAATGCTAATGGTTAGCTTCTGCTAGTTGAGATGTTCTCTGCTGTTTCCTGGACACTAAACCAACAACAGCCTTCCTCGTTGTGAGTCAAGATGGGTGAGTCCAGGAAAGTTATGTGACAGTGTGACATAGATCTGTCGGTTTTTCAAATTCTAGAGTTTCACCGTCTATGTTCTATCAGAAGTTAATGCAGCAGATAGGTGTAGGAGACTATGTTCATGTTCAGCCTGCATGAAAAACTCAGAGTGACCGATTCTAATCAGAAATAATCACTAAAAAATGTTTTTTTCAGTGTTCCACACCTTTAATGTTTTATGTTCTTGCTGATCCTGCACCTGGAAAGCACCTTGAATTTCTTCTGTGCATGAAATATGCCTCATAAATAATGCTGCCTTACCTTAAATTTGTAAACATGAGCAACACCTGAGGGCCCATGGAGTATTCTAACAGTCGAAGTCGCCAGATTATATAATAAGCAAGAAGATCGAAATCTCAGCCTGGTAAATATTTGAAGTTAGGCTTATTATTGGGCACCCTCCTTCAGACTGACCATCATAGATTAAGTTCCAAAACAACAGAATAGACAGGACAAGCTGAACGTACATGTGAGTGATAACAGCTAAACTCTCACGATGTCTAAATAATGAAGATGCTTTAATGAATCTACATGTGCAACATTTCAGAAACACCATTATCAGACTGTGTGCTGCTGCAGGATAACACCAGCGGAGCAACTATCACGCTCTGTTCTGCACTTTTACTGACACCGCTGTGAAGTGATAGTTGCAGTGATGGTTGTGCGGGGTCTTAAAAGATGTTGGTGGTCCAGGACTGAAACCAGTATAGCAGTTACAGATTGTGCACAGGCTGCAGCAGCAGCAGGCTCTCCCCCCGTCTTCTATTAAATCCGCCTTAATGTCTTTAAAATACAAATGTATGTTCAAAGGATTCATGAGCAAATCAAAGTTGCACACAGGATACCACAGAGACCCATAAACATGAGAAAAACCACAGCACAGAAGCACGCACGCACACACGCACACACACACACACACACACACACACACACACACACACACACACACACACACACACACACACACACACACACACACACACACACACACACACAGAGTGAATATTTTCTCTCACGCATTAAGCTACATAACAAAAACACTGTAGTTGTTTATCTGGATAAAGCACCATTGGTGTTTCCAGCAGCAACAGACAGGAAGCCACAGGAAGAAGTGTTGGTGTGCACTGTAGCGTGAGGAAAAACAACAGGGAAGCGAGGCTAAAATCAATACCGGTTTGGAGTAAGTTGGAAATCCTTGGGGACCTACTAAAGAACTAGCTGACAGGTGAGTGTCTGAACAGCCACCAGAGAAACGGAAACCCAGATGCATCAGCCCTGAGGTCAGTCTGACATCGAACTCTCAGAGAGAGAGAGAGAGAGAGAGAGATACAAGAGTCGATCTGACAGCATGAGGCCAGCAAGAGATGAATCATGATAGCGGGATTGAAAAACTCCAGAATATTTCAAACCTGACTGAGTTTCACTCTGAAACACAACAATTCTGTTTGCGACACTTTAATTTTAAATAATGTTTGTGTTCCTGTTAAAGTTGTATGTGCAAAGTTAGTAAAAACAGCAACAAAGAGTCAAACATTTGCTACAGGTGTCAAACAATTCAGATTTCAGCTTTTTTTTGGTGAACTGGATGAAAATCACGGCAGATGATTAGAAGCAGGGTTGATGAACGGCACCTACTGGTGGATGGCTTGGAGAAACTTCCTCTGGTGCTTCCTGACTCTGGCGTGGTCCATCTTCCTCACCAGTTTGGTGTTCTTGTAGATGAGCCATGTCTCCCTGAGAACATTCGCAGCTGTGTTTTTCACCTACAACCACGCAAACAAAACAAAGGAAGGAAGAAATGAAAAGTAAAACCCCCAAAACAAATAAAATCAAGACCAAAGAAACAAGTGAGACGCTCCAACTCACTCTTTTTGTCAGCTGGGTATCCATCATAAAATTGTGGACGTGTTTTTCAGCTTTGGTTAGTTCCAGTTTCTTGGCGACGACGGCCACCACTAAAGCAGTGCAGCCGGCACCCTGAGAAAACACAGATGTGGGTTGGGGTTGATTCAGTGACAAGCCTATAAGCAATCGTTTTAATTATTTCCCCAGAATTCCTGAAATAAAAACAGAAAGAAGAAGGACTCAGTCAGCTTTTCTCACCATGATACCAGTCAGGAGGCAGACTCCTTTTCCACAGTATGTGTGTGGGACCATGTCCCCATAACCAATAGTTAGGAATGTGATTGAGATCAACCACATGGCTCCAAGAAAGTTGCTGGTTATGTCTTGGTTGTCATGGTACCTGCAGCAAAGCAAAAACAGGTTTGATGCAACCTATTTCAGTGGAAAAATACCAAACAAAACGATTTCACCCAAAAGTTTTAAAACTTTGAGTGTCTTTATGCTGTGAAGTTGTTGTGAGAAACTGTTCCAAGCACCTCTCACAGGCTCTCACGGTCCATGCAGCGATGATCCACAACGAGATGGTGAAGACCAGCAGCACGGTGCCGGGACAGATAGTCATGAGGGTCTTCATCACAAAACGCGTGTTGAAGTTGATCTTGTTGAGTGCACCGATGCTGCGAGACGAGGCGTCGGTGAAGAGCTTGCTGTGCAGCAGCATGACACGAGCGATGAGGTACAGCCGCAGGAACATGGGGATGGACAGGATGATGTCCACATCTGCATCCGTCTTGGACGGGATGTAGGTGTACGCCAGGCGAGCTGTCCAGGTGAAGGTGTAGTTTCCTGGGATGGGGTGGATGGCGCACACCAAGATCTCCAGACAGATGAAGAAGATGCGCTCGTATGTCATGGCTATCCTCCAGTCGTCGGCTGCATTGTCCACCATGAAAAGCTGCAAGGGAACAGCACAGAGACGGAGATGATGGAGGCGGCAGACAGCTTCAGCATGCTGACACAGCAAACTATTTGAACTGACGATGTTCAGAGAAAGTTTTATTTTTATTTTTGAGCCACTAAAGTGTGACTGTTGAATTGTTCATCCATAAAAATGTTTCTCCACGTCAGGGATGGACCTTAAGGCTGGTGCCTATCTCTAGCGGTTATTATGCTACCAGAGCTGGTAAAGCCTGGACAGGATGCTGTCCATCACAAGAAAACACAGAGACACACAGGACAAACAGCCATGCACACACTCACACGTAAGGACAAGAGACCAGTTAAACTAACAGTGATACTTCTGGACTGTTGGAAGAATCCGGAGTACCCAGAGAGAAACCTCACATGCATAGGGAGAACTTGCAAACTCTATGCAGAAAGAACCCAGGTTGGGATTTGAACCCAGGACCACAATTTCAATTGCATCGCTGGGCAGCCCATTAAAAAATAAATAATGAAAATATATTTTCTTCAACTTTGAATAGCAAAAACATATTATGGTGCAGGGAAGCTGTTATCCTAGGATGTAGGTTTCATGTTAAATTGGTTCTTTAGACCTTTTGATACAAACTTTAAATCACACAAAAAATATTTGTTCCCTTTTCCTTAATGAAAATTATGACAGACAAAAATTTATATTTTCAATGTTATTTTTACATGAACAAGGTGGCTAAAGAGCTCAAAAGTTACATATGTTGCACACACACACACACACACACACACACACACTGTAGCCACAGCTGCCCTGGGGTGCACTGATGGTCCCGCTGACCACCGCCAGCTCGCCAGGCTGGGTAAGTGTCTTGCCCAAGGACACGACTGTGGCAGACTGAGCGGGACTCAATCCCACAACCTTCCTGTTATAAGATGATCACTTAACTCCTCTACCATGCCTAGCCCAATCTAGTCAATGTCAGACTAAATATTAACCTAAAATTCAAAATGAAATTTGCTTAGATTTTAGATTTATTTTTCATTCCACCATTGGCTCTTCACTCCCACTATTAAAGGTGTGGAACACACCTGTCTCCTGCATTAGCTTCTGATAGATGATAGAGGTGTAACTTGATGGTGATCAGAAAAGCCTGACAGATCTACGTTACACTGTCACTTAGCATTCATGGACTCACCCATCTTCGCTCACAACGGGGAAGGCTTAGCGTCTGGGCAACAGCAGACAACGTCCCGACTCATTTTAGATAACCCTTAGCATTAGCAGCTTCACCGCACGGCAGAAACTCCTCCAGGCTTGTGTTATTTGTGGAGATAAAACAACCAGGCAAGATGTCCAAATATCAGGAAATAAGACGTCTGAAGCTCAGCTGTGATGTGGGACACTTCTAGTTCCTGGAAATGGTGCACTGGTATATTTTTACACAACATTCATTCCTACCAGAGACCACTGCGTATGTATTGATTAAACGAGTGAACCACCTGGAATCTGGAATATGTAATCATCTTCTGGAGAAAGAAAGACTAAAGTCAATAGTGTGAAATTTGACTAAAATATGTAAATTACTGAGAAATTGTTGGACTAAACTCCGTTCTTCTCTAATAACAAACAGAAATGTGTCTCATTCAGCAGCATGCAGTGAGGACTCCTAATTTAAAAGCATCTTTCTGATGAGAACATCTGCCACCTCCTCATTAGCATACGGTTGTGATCGCCTGGCCGCTCCCATCAGAAGTTTTTCACAGGGGACCGAGTGAGACAGGATGTCATCACTCTCCTCCTCAGTCACATCCAGCAGCTCCTTCACATGGCCACCTCTCCTCTCCTCCTGCTTCTCTCTCCTCCTGTTCCTCCTCACTTTCACTTTGTTATTTTCACTCAGGAGCGCTACTGCATACCGTGTTCACCCATCACTGCCATCACCTCCTCTTCCACGATTCCCAGTCATGCTTATGGATGACAACAGACTGTCTCTATCACACTCATCTTACAGATATTTGCAGGGTTGGGTTGCAGATGAAATGCTATCGAACCGTATTAACTGACACACCACACTGATGCTCGTCCGCAGATGGTCAGGCTTCATCCACTAGATAACATCAAGGTTTCCTGCCTGCAAAAGCCGTCACGAGCAGCTGCAGATATTTCACAAAACGTTGCTGTCAGCAAATGCCGACCAACACTGGTGGGGGCAGTTTTTTACCACAAGAGCCAACGGCTTATTAAAGAGAGGAAGAAAAGAAAAATGGCACAGTTACATTTCATTGGAAAGCTCTTTAATGTGTTTGGTAATGAATTATGGGATGTCTGCTGGAGCTTTGAAATTAAAATATGCACACAAACAGTGCAATGCTTTTGCTCATGGCTTTTTGCACCAAATGTTTATGCAAAGACGGGCCCATGGTAGACTGAGAGAGCATGGGTTTTTCACCAGTCGTGACTGGTTTTACTTTCATTATTGCAACACTTATAAACCTGATAAATGTAGTTAACTGGAAAAAGATGCAATGCTTCCTTGGGGTTGGGATGGAGATCTGCCTCAAGCAAAGGAGTTCAAATATCTAGAGCAACAAAATTATTACTTTGCTGCCCTTAGACCAGTGTGTCTAAAATAGGTATTAAGAAGACAAGTGAAGCATGCAAAATGCAATAAAACAATCAAAAATGTTAGAAATGTAAACGCGTATCTGCTACATTAGCTGTTTCGTGCAACAGTCAGTGAGATTTGAATAGATTGTGCAGATAATATGTATAACTTATATAGGTGCCTTGCTCCTGAGTGATGGTTGGATGGAATGAGAGCTTTGTTAGCAGTAAGGGGGGCATTGCTCCAGTCGATTGTGGCAAAGAAGGAGGTGAGCCAAGAGGCAAAGCTCTCGATTTACTGCTTCATCTACATTCCAAACCTCATATGGTCATGAGAGTTGGATCGTGACCAAAGGCACGTTTAATTAGTATCCTCTGGCCGGGTTCAGCCTCAGAGATGGAGCTAAGGTCCTCCAGGCATGTCCCACTAGGAGGAGACACTGAGCAAGACCAAAAACTCACTGGAGGGATCTTATATCCTCTCTGGTCACAGAACCATGGGATCGCCCCTGTGTTATTGGGGGAGATGTCCGGGCTTCCCTCCTGGATCTGGTACTAACAACTCATCTTGTATGGATAAACAAATACCTAGGACTATTTTCCAAAGCATTCCGTAAGTCCTTTAAATAAAATAAAATGAAATGAATTTATAGTAGCAGAGGAGTTATGCGCCCACCCTGTGACCAGAGGGTTGCAGGTTTGCAGGGGATTGTAGAACCCTAAAAGTTGCTTATATGAAATACAGACCATTTACAAACAAAAAAAATAAATAAAATAAAATAAAAAAATAAATAAAAAATAAAAAAATAATAAATAAAATAAAATAAAATAAAATAAAATAAAATAAAATAGGTGGAGTTATGTTGAGGGCAGAAACATAAGTCTCAGATCCTTTCAAGCAGATTAGTAAAAAAATGTATAAACAAAAAATATGTTAAAAATTAAAGAAATTATTTGATTATCAATTACAAAAACACAACTTTCTATATGATTTCATAGCTGTTTAATAACTAATAAACATTTAGCAGTGGTGCTTTAGGTTAGGTTATAAAAACATCTTCATAATCAGGTCTTTAAAAACTGAATTTCTGTAAAAGCTTTTGGCTGAAAAATCAATAGAACAATTTTTAAATCTTCAAGATTTTGTGCTGCAGACCCAGTCACCTCAGCCCTATCAGATAAGAAAATAAAACAGTGTTTCAAAGAAATGTATGAAATGTTAAGGGTGAGCAGAGTTGATATTTATTGCTTGTTTGAAACATAAAATAAGTTAATTTAGTGCTGAAAAGAAAGCAAACTGAAATAGTGCCATACTTCTTTTGTTTGTGAGTTTGGTGAATTATGAACCAGCACTTTAAAGGGCCAAATCACATATTTTAAAATATATATTTGTCGCTGTCGTCGTCTTCCTCCACTTATCCGGGTCCGGGTCGCAGGGGCAGCATCCCAACTAGGGCGCTCCAGACCGTCCTCTCCCCGGCCACCTCCACCAGCTCCTCCGGCAGCACCCCAAGGCGTTCCCGGACCAGATTGGAGATGTAACCTCTCCAACGTGTCCTGGGTTGACCCGGGGCCCTCCTGCCGGCAGGACATGCCCAAAACACCTCCCCCAGGGAGGCGTCCAGGAGGCATCCTGACCAGATGCCCAAACCACCTCAGCTGACTCCTTTCGATCCGGAGGAGCAGCGGTTCTACTCTGAGTCCCTCCCGAATGTCCGAGCCCCTCACCCTATCTCTAAGGCTGAGCCTGGCCACCCTATGGAGGAAACTCATTTCGGCCGCTTGTATCTGCGATCTTGTTCTTTCGGTCATTACCCAAAGCTCAAGACCATAGGTGAGGATTGGGACGTAGATCGACCGGTAAATCGAGAGCCTTGCTTTCTGGCTCAGCTCCCTCTTCACCACGACAGATCGGCTCAGCGTCCGCATCACTGCAGACGCTGAACCAATCCTCCTGTCGATCTCCCGATCCCTCCTACCCTCACTCGTGAACAAGACCCCGAGATACTTAAACTTCTCCACTTGAGGTAGAACCTCTCTCCCAACCCGGAGTTGGCAAGCCACCCTTTTCCGGTCGAGAACCATAATCTCAGATTTGGAGGTGCTGATCCTCATCCCAGCCGCTTCACACTCGGCTGTGAACCTACCCAGCAAGAGCTGAAGGTCAGAGTTGGATGAAGCTAGGAGGACCACATCATCCGCAAAAAGCAGAGACGAGATTCTCCTGCCACCAAACTCGACACACTCCACACCACGGCTGCACCTAGAAATTCTGTCCATAAAGGTAATGAACAGAACCGGTGACAAAGGGCAGCCCTGGCGGAGTCCAACCCTCACCGGGAACAGGTCCGACTTACTACCAGCTATGTGGACCAAACTCACGCTCCCCCAGTAAAGGGACTGAATGGCCCTTAACA